GAGCTGCAGTTCCCTGGAGCTTGAATGGAGCACACATGACACTCTACGTGATTCAACTAAAAGCTGGTTAGTGAACAAATGACAGCTAAGTCATTTGCACTGCAATAATAGCAAATCTTCCTTTGGAAGGTTGTGTCAGTAGAGTTCTTCCTTCCAATATCACTTGTAAAACTAGTGTGTTCCGTGGTTAGGGAATGTATTACAACAGGAAGGGAAACTCTGTAGATCAGCTCTTAATTCTGACACGGTGTGTGTGTGTGTGTGTGTGTGTGTGTGTGTGTGTGTGTGGTGCTAGGATTGAACTCCAAGCCTCACACATGCTAGGCAAGCACTCTACCACTGAGCTACCCCAAGCCCATCTGTTATTAATCAGGTAATTTTAGTATTTTAACTTTTTATTGAGAGATGGAGATTGTTTATAGTGTTTCCTAGATAGCAACAGATGAGTTACTTGTGTACTCTGCTATATGCTGGTCATAAATATCACACACGTCCTAACACTCTTGTTCTTCTTCTTACACATATTCAGGCACACAACTGCCAGGCATAGGGCTCTGAAGCAATCAAAGCCCTTCAAGGGTCCTCACTGTGTGGTTTATTTTTTGTTTTTAATATCCATGAAGGACTATCCATGAGTAACTATATCATAAATGCTCACACATGGTAAAATCAGTGCACAAGAAACTTTTAAACCCAACACTAACAAAATGCAAAAGTAATACCAACCAAAAAATTGTAAGAAAAAACATCAAAATTGTTTTAAAAAGAAATTTCTAATAGGAACAAAATGTAAATCATTTTTTAAAGAAGTTAAACATTAATGAAATAATTTTAAAATAATAAATTAAGAAAAATAGTATTTTATATGTTTCATGGTAGGTTTTTGCTTCTTTATATTAACTTCTACATGTTGTGAGAGCTGGGAAACATATTTTGTACTCAAATATTATCTTCTTCCTCTCACAAAAATGCTAAAATTAGCATTCTAAAAATACTCTGATGTTCCAAAGGACTGTAGGAAAAAGAATATAACGGTACAATTCTAAAAATTTCTTACTTTGCTCTTTGATTTGATTAATTCAAAATTTTCTTTGACACCACCCCCCACCCCAACTTGCTAGAAAAACACAGTGATATTTCAAGATTCACGTTATAGGTGGCAAAGGGTTTGCCACATTTTTATATGGTGAGTTGAAATAAACACTATGGTTACTTAAACAGTATGGCATAAAATAATATCTGTTCACTTCTGTTTTCTGTCTTTTATGGTCACTAAAAGCAATTGAAGACTCATGGAAGGAAAAAGAGTACTGCTTTTAACATGGGTGTCTCCTCTGCTGATTTTATTTAAGACTGGTAAAGCTATCTTGTCTGCCACAGGAAAACAAGAGTCCCACATGTGAGACTCAAAGTGGTCATCTTGAGGACAAAACTCAATATTTCATTAGCAGCTGGTTGCTTAGCAACTCCATTTGGGGACTCAGAATAAAGGAAGTCTTTCCACTGCACTGTACGAACTTGTGTGGAACAGGGTCAGCAGAGAAAACCCGCCCCCAGACATGGAAGTGCATATCTAAGGCCTCAGCATCGCAGGCTACAATCATCCAGTTATGCAACATTAAATTTAAATGTTATTCAGGTTTCGCCATTGCTTAGAGAACAAGTAAAGGTCAAGAATCTGTAGAAATGTCATCCAATTCTCAAGCTTCACAATACTGAATACTGATTTAATGCCAGAATTTAAAATTAAAAAAGAAGGTAATAGTAAAGACAGGAAAGCTGAAATCTCAGTAAAATTCCTATGGGTTACTCAAAAAGAATTCTTGCGTCCTTAGTGACGCAAGAATTCAAGCTGCATAAATTTTGGGAGATTTGGAAGGAAGCTAAGGAGATGGAAGGCATGTCACCTACATATTTTTTATTTACTCTGGCTTGGATATAGGATGATGGGGGGAGGAGGCTATCAATACTGGGAAGCTTTTTTCTAGTTTCTCAGGGAGGCCCTTGTCAGCTACCCCCTGGGAGAAGAAAGGGGAGAATGAAGTCAAAGTCTCCTTGGCCAAGAGACTATCACCAGTACCAGCCAAGACACACAGAGCATGTCTATGGAGCAGGCCCTCAGATATGGGTTATCATTCACATGGCTCTTAGGCTTTATCCTAACATCACTGGGAGGAAGAACTAAGCTTTAGTTTTCAGCTAAGAAGACCTCGGAGCAACTAAACACCTGGTCACTGTCTCAGGTGGAGGATGACATTGCAACCAGCTTCTCACGGTCTGGTTCTAAAGCTCCTGCCGACAGCCTCTGCGCGGTATCACCGAGCTGTACCATTTGCTTTTTCAGACCGCACACTTAGACCATGCCATCCATAGCACAGATGAGGCTGCTGGGCAAAGACTTTGTTTGCACTCTTGCTTTTCCTCTCTTACCTCCATTTCCTTCAAAAGCCTTGTACTTTAATTTTCTTAGTCAAGGAAAAATGAGATCAAGGAAGAGCCCAAAGTGGAATGCAAGAAATGAGAAAGTGTGAAAGAGAATCCATCTTCATGTGGAGAGAAAAAGAATACACTAGTTCTTCACAAGAGCAAAGCTCTGGCTAACGTGAGAGCCCTGCAAAGAAGAGGCAGATGTTTTTATAATTTCTTAATCATAAGTCACGTTGGGACATCACTGTTTGTTTGGGCTAAATACATTTGTGTGATTTTATTATAAAATGTTCCACTTCCTGCTGTTTACCAGAGGACTAAAAAAATATCTTTCCTTGTGTAATGACTGGCTTCTGATTTACTGAGTTTCTCTTTCAGTATATCCATGAATTACAGTGAGAAGGCTCCTCACTTCCTGTGGCATTGCCTTCTTTGAATCCCACTAGAAACTTCTTTATACATCCTTAGGATTTTCTGTTCTCTCCTTGGGCACTAAAGCTTTTCTGGACATCTTTTCTCACAGATTCTTATGCAGCAGGGCACATTTATTTCAGGAAAAGACTGTGGAGATTCCCAAGTGATTCTAGCAATGAACCGAGTCCAGGTTCCACATTAGCTTTTGGGTAGCATGCAAATATTGTTCCATTTGATAAGCTTTTCCCATCTTGTTAACATACTGGGCTCCTTAACAGTAGCGCTTCAGAAAGAAAAAATGTACCATGTTTTTGAACCAGTGGTAGATGGACATTTTATCAGCATCCACAATTTTCCCATTTGCTTAAATTACTCCAATTCATCCAGCAGATGCATCAAGAAAAAAGTCAAAGAGTTAAATTTAAAGAAGAGAAAGCTAGTGGTTTCAAATAATAAAATCTAATCAATTGCTTTTAAATATCTCATTTAACAGTTCCTATTATCCAACTCAGCACAGAAACTATGACAGAAGATAGGGCCAGACTCTGTACTGCTTTGATTATCTTTCATTCAAAGCAATTGAGAAGTTGTAAATAGGACAGGGAACACTTCAGTGCAGCCTGATAAGTGTAAGCAGGACCGTGACTATGACATCAATCTGATGCTCAAGCCTTGGATAAGAAGGTACTCAACTGTTCATCAATGAAAGAATTCATGTTTGATTTTGTGGGATTGGCTTGGTTTCTCAAAGGTGTTAGATTCACTAAGGATCAGAAGTAACATGATTCTGAGAGAAAAGTCTTCAATATCTACTTAACCCCAACACTGAAATCATATTCTATGAAAGAAGTAATTCAACACCAACATCTCACATGTAATTTCCTTTGTTAGACCTAGACAAGGAGATTTAGATTGTAATACAGAGAGCTGTTGATTTCAATGGAGCATGGTCTATTGCATTGATATTTTTCATTATGAAACATTTATTGAATTTTGTTCTTGTAATCCTATAGGTACATTTTAAAAACATAATAATGTACAGATATCTAAGAATATCATTTGCCAGAAAATGGGAAAAACGTTAAGATATCATTTCATACACTATGGTCTGCAATAATGATTTTGGTTCAATTTTGTCCACATGGCTTGTGCCAAGAAAGGCTGATTTATAAAGCATATTCTGCAATCCAGAACCAGATAATACTGGAGATAATTACTATGCCTGGTTAGAGTTTAGGAGCAATTTCCTGAGCCACCACTTGTAAAAGTGAAAGAACATACACTGTAATGAGTGCTGGTTGGCTAGATACTAAAAGAAAAATAAGGAATTATTACCTGGAGTCCACTTTCCAATATCAGGTTAAACAGCACAGTGTCTCCCTAGATGCCATACAAACGTTCCTCATGTGATTTTTACTGCCGTACAGATGGATATACAGACTCTTTTTAAGCTTTTTTGGCATATAGAAAAATTAAATCAGTAATATCTCAGTTTCACATAATTTATTGACAATGGAATTGCTTTATCATTTAGAAATGGGAGCTATTAAGATCTAAAGCAGAGTTTGATTTTCTTTTGGAAACCATAAGAAAAAACCATTGCCTTTAATAACAAATATGAGATTTGTAACATTAAAAGAATAATTGTTCAATTCATTAAATTTTGCAGATTTAATTTTGAAGATTTAACGTATAATTCAATCTAAGAAAGATGCTGTTTTATCTTTAGGCCAGTTATGAGTAATTTTAATCTTATTTTATAAAACTACTGTTAATTAATGTTGCTTTCTTAAAGGTTCTCTAAATTCATCCCTTATTTAAATATTTTATTCTTATGAATGTTGGCAAAGCCAAATGGAGGAGTGAGTGATCTTGGTAAATTAAAACAAACCTAGCAACTAATTTAGGCCATTGTTTGGTTTTTAAAAATTCATTCTTTACTCCTTTAGCTTTGATGATTTATTTGTCTGAATTTGCAGTTTCAGTTTAGCAATGCATAAAGAAAACTGGAAGCATCATAAATAAATTACATGTTAAAACAACACATTGCAAAGGACCCTGGACATTCAGCATGAACAAGATCCCATTATAGCACGGTGACTTTTAAGAACAAAAGCTTCCCCGCTTTTTCTGACTTAAAGAAATAAAACAACAGACAGTTATTTCTTATCTAAATCTTTATTAGAAGAAAAAGCAAATGTATCTAAAACAAGGAGTAACAACAAATTTCATTAAGTATGAAACATCTGGGTTATCAAAGGTATTTAGACAACATGTTCCTAATATTTCTGCATAGCAGAAGCACACCGATTATAGAGCTCATGATGTCATGCCCTCGTGAGTTACTTCTGGCCTAAGAGTATCTAAAGTCACATTTAAACAAATGTGATGGTAGCTAAATTGATGTTACTTGATGTTGACTGATTTGCAACGCTTTCCCAGCTATCATGATGGTGGACATAGCCTTCAGATGAATGCCTTTATGGACTCTGTACCATTGAGTAGCAAATTGAATTCATTTTATTTCAAGTTAGTAGTACCAGTAAAGTTATTTAAAACTGAATGAGAAAGTGTTCCTGTTTATACTGCTGCAATAAAAAATCAACGTGTTATAAATGAGCTGTTTTGTATCAAAAGTTAGTAAATACGAGACATATATACAACAGCCTTTGATGGAAACAATCATATGTAATGGAGCTATTTAGTCCATGACATCTGTGAGCACCCTTTCAGGGTTAAGTTCCCTTTGTGATTCCTAGAAGTTTCTTTTTCCTACTATGTGTACAACACAGAATGACGCAGTTATATAACTATTGTATAAAGACTACATTTTAAAATTTCTTTTAAGAAAAACAAAATAAACCCAACAAACGTGCAGTCTTTCAAGTTTTTGTTTTCCTTGTGTGTAGCACACATTCACGAATGCCCACTGGGTGCAAAGGAAATTTCTTTATGTCCCACAAGGTATTCTCGACGCTGAGAATGGGGAACATGGTTGAAATGACCAGTGGTTTCCAATCAGTGAGCAAGAGGAAAATCAACGCAAGACTTGTCTTAACCACTAAACATTGCAGGATTTAATTTTTCTTAAACAATGTTTGTAAACTTGCCCACAAAAGTTGGGTAATATTAAACAGCCGGTAAGGCACTTTGTCAAAGGACGAAGTAGGAAAGGCTGGATGGTTGAGAATTTGCCTAGCACACACGACCCACAACCCACTATCCCTACGAAAAGACAGCAAAGACCGGGGTGGGGTGGACCTATGACGGGTTTACTGTCCAACAAGGGTGGGGAATGTTTGAAAAACGTTTATTTCACTTTGTTCACCAATTTTCCCTGCAGAAGAAGTCATTTAACTATAACCTTAAAAATAGATTAGGAGCTATCAATTTAAGTCACATATCCTTCTTCGATTTAATATTTTAAACGGATATTAACATACTCGGTAATATTTTCAAAAGATCCAAGCCACTGTATTTAAAAATGAATTACAAAACGAAAGATCTTTGTATAAAAATGATTCATGTTATTAACAATTTCATTGCAACTTTCGATGGCTTCACATATTACAGCGTAAGCTTTGGTATAAAACATGCAAACGCAAGCCAACAAGGTCGTGAGGCCAGCATCCCTAAACGCCGCAAGCGTTGCACGGACAGCCAAGGAGGAAAAGGTAACACACCATCGCCAGATGACATTTGCTTTTCTACCGGTCTTTAGTTTAGAAATTTCGGTTCAACAAAATCTTCATCAAAGACGAGCTCACGAAAAGGGGTTTTTCCGCGGAACCTTCGTTTCTCTCTAAATCTTCCACTAGGAGGAAGAACGGCACACAGTAATTAACAAAGCAAAACCGTAAGAGAAGTCACAGCGCCATCTGCTGCACACGCGCTTTATAGCACTTCGAGACACTGCGCTTTCAAAACAGCAGTTTGGCATGGACATTATTGTAAACATAGATATGAGAAAACAATCAGCCCTTGTTATTATTATGTCAGTAAAATACGATCCCATTCTGGGTCCCAAGTCAGATTCTGCCAATATGGCATGCCATTCAGGTGCAGGATTACAGAGGTAACTTCTGTTTACCTTCTTTTTTTCTCAATTTACTTTCTAAATTACCAGACTAATTCAAAATTGTTTTGTTTTGTCACCAACCACTCGGATGGTACAGCCTTGAAACATATTATTTGTAAAATGTTAATATACAGTATTTCAAATCTTTCAATTGCAAGTGTTGAGGAATATTGCTGTTTTTTGCCCCCACAGATACCAGTTTAATTGCTTTGTAAGAAAATGGCTTCTAAATTTCTTCTCAAAACCCTACTCATTTTTAATCTATGCATTTAAATTGTACAAAGGAGTAAAAAACAGTATTTTTTTTCTACCTGGGAATAAACCTGTACAACACTTAAACAGGCAACTAGTAGCTCACATGCTGATTTATATTTTATTCAAGCGATTTTTCCAACTTTTATGTATATCAGAATCACCTAGAGTATTTTGCAATATTTTACACAATGCCCACCTCCAAACACAGTCAGCAAGGGCATCTGCATGTACAAGTTCACTGGTAGAAGTCACTATTCTACTAGATTTTTGTTCTGGCCCTTGTATTATTGGGTAAGAAAGTAATAAGAAAAAAATCTAGAAGGAAAAGCAAGGGTGGGGTTATAGCTCAGTGGCACAGTGCCTGCCTGGCATGCTCAAGGTCATGAGTTCAATACCTGGGGTACCAAAAAAAGAAGAAAAGGGAGCACTTGTCCCTGTACTCAGGCTAATGAAAACAAGGAAGGCTGTTTGACTCGAGGTGAAGCCAAGTAACACTTTTACTACAACACTTATTTGCTTCTTGTTATTAAGCTGCCATGAAATCCATCTAAATCTAAGTTCCTACGCTGCAGGGTAATTAAATAAAGTAGTATTCGTATTAACTTGTAGCGCAATAATGCATTTCTGATTGTCTTGTTGAATGTGTGCATCACATCCTGATCAACACGTTAGATCAACACATTCCTTGCTGTTACACACAAGATTAGCATAAAAGCCAGAAGGGTGCCAACTGGATCAATGCTACTTTGGGGGTGCATTTTTACACTGTCAGCCATACCCTATGTATTTGCACATGATATGAGTAGATAAGGTGTATCAGCATCTGATTCATGTTTTGCCTGGCCATGTAAGAACTACGCAGGTCTTGCCAGAGGCTGGCTTGTTGCTCTGGCCAATAGCAGTGGAGTGTAGCAGTAACATTCCTCTTAAGCCCTAAAGAGAGATTTCCTAACCCCAAGAATGCCCCTTGCAAAGGTATTTACAGATGAGGCATTTAATGGAGGTCAATCATATATTCCCTTAGTGCAAAATCTTAATTCCCTTAGCTTAAAATCTATAAAGTAATGCCATATTTATTTCTTTTTCCTCACTGAAAGTTGAGCTAAAATTAAACCTTTTGTATAAAAAGTTTATAAAGTGACATAGTCACTTTAATCTCGAAATACAGGTATGCTCATGAAAAGAAAAGCATCATCTTTCAAAACAAATCCATATCCATCTTCCCTATGGTGGAAATGGGCAATTTGTGTTAGAGATTAGTAGTATGAGTTATACAGAATATTTTTTGTTCAGGATATTTTTATGGTGGCCAGAAGCTCTTACTACTGGAGACGTATTCTAGAAGTCAAATTCAGCTTCAATATAAACAGAAATTCACTAGAAGATAATGAACTGTGATGATCCCACAGTAACTTCATCCAATTCTGTTCTTTGTAGAATCTGCCTGATATTAATATCTAGAAGTTTGTTATGGACTTGACTTGCTAAAACATACTTCATGAGGAGCCATTAATACACATTTGACCACAGTTTAGAGAGTTCCCCACCAGCTTGAACAGTATAAATATAACAATAGCACCATATTTACAAATGTAGTACCTTATGCTGGTTAACTATCAATCAATGCTTTTATGGCTAGTTGATTACACAGTTATAGTGCTTTCAAAAATTGCCTGAAAATCCTTTACAAGTTTACACTTACAAAAACAAAGGCTATCAAAGTGCTGCTGCAGAAACAACACGCTGAGTTACAAAAGTTATTAAAACCCTTTCAGCTATAAGGTTTTAAATATGCTTGACATTAACACTTGGCTCTTCCACTGGGACCATCATCTATAAAGTATGCCGCATCAGAGAGGCCACGGCCATCCAATGCCTGACCGCTCTATGGTACCACGTACTGGCTTTCTTTTAGAAGAAGCTCAGAAATTTCACAGGACTCCAAAGCAACATTTTCAGATTATAGTTGACCTAATTCGCAAAACATCGACTTAAAAGTAGTTGGCACTGTTTGGAGCTTTTCTACTTTTTCTGCTTCTGGAGAACTGGTTGCTTCTTGACCAGAACTTCGTGCAGGCTAGGGGTTATGAAGTAAGGTTTTTCTGGAGATCCATCGTTCCCTTCCAGATCTTCACCTGTATTTGCAGCAGCCAAAGCAGGGCCAAGGCAGCAAACAGCAGCAGAACAATTATGTGCATTTTATAAATTGGAGAACAGGTGAACAAAGAGAAAGAATCAGAGATATCAGTGTTAGAAAGTGAAACAGAAGACAGATTAGTAGAAACAAACAAAAAAGACCAATCAATGAAGTTAAATTGCTGATTCTGGACAAAATAGCCCTAAAAGACCCCAAGACAAAAAGGCCCAATCTCTACTATAAAGCACTGGTCCTTTCCTCACCCAAATAAGGTTTATTTTGATAGTTTAAATTAACAAAGTTTTCCATGTTCTTCAAAAGTATTCTCCTTAAATCTTGTCACTACTCTTTTCAGAACTGTATAAACTGCTACAACCTTGGGCATGAAGTTAAATAGAAAGTGTACTAAGAATAATAGTTGTATTTGACAGTTTGAGGTTGCTTTTAATAGCAGTTTGCACCCAGATATTATGGATGAATTTGCTGAACCAGGGACGTAAATGAACTCTGCTGAAATCGAAGATTCTGAGGCAGTGAGAAGAGAACCCAGGCTCTTGGCCTTTGATTCAGTTCTGATCATATGTAACTATGAAGGGCTATGCTCTAAAGCTTTGTGGTCTCCCTCAGATTATATTCCAAAGCTAACACTAGGATTTCCTGACTTCATTGCCCATGAAATAACCTTCTTGTCTTGATTGCTTAAGGTAATGAGAAACTGATAGGCTGTTCACTGGTCTACCAGCTGGGTGGTTGGGGAAGGGAGCAGAGTCATGCTGAAAATCAAGATGTTTTCATGGGATTCGATTTACTGCAAATGCCATGTATTTCATTGCAGATAGTATCTATACTCGTTTGGGAATTGTGGGATTATTGGTTTAGTAGATTTTTAAATTAGACCTCACACACACACACATGTGACCTTTCTCACATATAAAGCAAAAAGTTAAGGAACATGATAGACACTGGGACTTTTTTTTTTTCCTTAATCTTATTTCTGTGCAATATCATATATCATATGCCTGTATCATTACTATCCTGGAGGTACCAGTAGGAAGCCTGGTCTGGATCACATTAATAATCATCTACAGCTATTATTCTTTCCAGAAAGATTCTCAGTGCCTTGTGATGTTAAAAGATGTTATGTTTCTATAAATAAAGTATTTACAAATGGTTGGCATTTTTTTAAAAAAAGCATAAATTTTATGACAAGTATAATAGGTATAAAAAGATACAGAAAAGAAGTGTTCTACACAATTAGAATTTGCCTTGAGATATCATTAAAAAGAATGTTTTCCAAAATATGATGTTACCCACTGTAACAGTTGGGGCAGGAGGAGAAATGCCGTATGATCTCCCCTGTTCTTTATTATCAAAGACGGGAGCCTTTGCAGGGAAACTATTAATGTCAACACACAACACTGAGTAAGACTGATGGTACATATGACTTTTGAGAAGTTAGAAATTTATTAACAAATATGGATGGGCAATTTCTTACTGTTCACAGTTAAAATTCACTACCATATTTAAAATTGACAAAATTAGCCCAAGCTTGCAAAGGCTGGAAACTAGTAAGTGCTAGACATTTCCTGTACTAAATTTTGAGAACTATTTTCAGCTACAAGAATAAGGAAGACGTCAGAGGGATTTCCAAGTACTGCTCTTGGGATGACCATCTGAGGCGAGAGAAGAAATCACTGTGTATTCCAGAGACCCGTTTCTGCCATGTGTTGAGAACTACCTAAACAGTGGGTTTTATTTGGTGGTGGTAGGGAATAGATTTCTTTACTCCTGTAATGATCTCAACTCCCAACCCAACTGTGAAGTTGACCCTGTAGTTTAAAAAATAAACTGTTGGCTGTGTGCTCAACAATGTCCTACAGAAGAGTAAGTTTTCTATTTTTTGTGTGTGGTACTGGGATTGGACTAAGGGCCTTTGCATTGAGTTACATTCCCATCCCTTCTAACAAACATACCGTTTTGTTCTATTTTGAGACAGGGTCTTACTAAATCAACAAGTTGCTCAATTAGGCTCAGACTTGTAATCCTCCTACTTTGGCCTCCCAGAGTGCTGGGATTACAGGCACACACCAGCACACCTGGCTAGGTTCTGCTCTCTTACCTGCTAACCCTAACTTCTCTACATTTGCCCAAGAAATTCACCAAAAGCGAGGGTCAGGTCAAAGTCCTGATTGGCGTTAGGTTGTCTGGTTGTTTTGGAAGTGGCACTAAAAAAAAATCCTCCTTCGGGGTACATGAGTTATATCTGCTGCCTGGTTGCACAGTGTGTAAATCAGTGATGAAAACTCTGATGATGATGAACACCAGCTCCAAACCCCTCTGTGGATCGGGCCACTGCCTAGCTGCTCGCCTCCCTGAATCATGTCGGTCTGTCACTGTGTTCCATCACATGGATTTGCCCCAGCTGTCTTGGAACTTGCTGCCATCTTGACTTTATGAGAATCTATGGCAGTCTTCAAGGAATTCCCCAAACCCACCTCCCGAAGTTCAGCTGTAACCTACAGGGATTTGACAGCATGTGGAAATGACAAAGTGGTTATCTGGCTAGCACCAAGCCACGCAGCCTGAGTTCCTGTCAGTAGCTGACTCTACTGTGCTTTGCAAATTCCCTCGGCTTGAGGGTCTCAGTTGTTAATTACTCATGTGTGAGTGTGAGTGGTGATGTATTTTCCTCGCAACTTTACTAAAGTCTAATTTCTCCCCACTTTATTGAGGCACAACTGACAAAAAAATTGTACATGCTAAAGCTACGCAATGCTTTGATGCATGTAGATATTGCAGAATAATTACCACTATTGAGCTAATTAACATATTTATCTTCTCACAAATAATTTGTACATGTGGGTTTAGACAGTATTTCAGATCCCACCTGACAAGTTTCAAGTATACAGTACAGCATAATTAATTATGGTCACCATACTATCCAGCAGCCTCAAGAATGTGTTCATCTTGTCAATGTGAGCCCATACCTTTTGCTAACCTTTATCATTTTCCTCAGCACTGGATTCCCAATCACCAGCCTTCTCCCTGTTTCTGAGTTTGAAGTTTTAGATTCCACATTGAAGAGAGATGACACAGTATTTGTCTGTCTACCTCTGGCTTATTTCTCTGCAGTTACAGTTATTAGTGCCTCTACTCAGCAAGGTCTCCTTCCAAATAGATACTGCTTTGCAGTTGCAGACAGGCAGCAACAAATCCAAGCCAGCTAAGGTGTCGGCGTCACCTTCTCATTTACAGTTATCTACCAAGGGGACCCTGCACACCAAATACTTACAGAAGCAGAGGAAAATTGTTTCGATACACGTTGTATAGACACTGAAGCAGCCATGAGCAACTAGGTAAGATCCCAAAATGACAGTCTGTAAATGGGTAAAGAAGAGACCAACAAGTTTAAAGAACAATAAAGCAGCTGTAAACGAAAGCCAAGATGAGAAAACTTTGAAGTACTATGTGTTGAAAAGACTTCAGAATACAGATGCACAATTTTGTGTGCTTTGTCCTGAGATCTACAGAAAAGGTACTAGGTTTCATGTCCATTTTCCTACTGTTTTCCCCAAAAGGCCAAGCAAAATAGCTCAATTTTAGGATCCTAGATAGCCAGGGAGTAAAGCGTAAGGGATTATAATCACATATTGCCTGGATTTGAATCACGGCTTGAGCTCTCAGCCAGTTACTTAACCTCTCTACATCTCCTTCATTAAGATGGCACCAGGGATGAGGAGAATGTGAATGACAGCACTTACGTCACGTGTTGAGAGTTTATACACTGCAGATGCAGCATTCACCCACCCAGATCTCTCCTAGCTGCTCCACCCATACCTAGTTTGGGGAACGTAGGTGACTGCTGACTCAGCTGCTTCCAGGACTAGGAATTGCCCTCCCCAGGGGAGCTGTCTCACCCAAGTTTACACACCTGTTCAGTGTTAGTGTGTGGTGACCAGCTGTCTGATGTGGTTTGCAAAGGTCTAGTCCCTTTGCCCGAACTTCCAAGAATTACATCTATGGTCTCAGCTGTAGAGCTTCTGCTGCTGCCCTGGCCTGCCCCTCTTCCTTACAAATGCATCTCAGGACAGGACCTCCTAATGAGGATTTTGTGTGCAAAACTTAGCCTCAGGAGTTTTTTCCAAGGATCCCAATCCGGAGGGCAGGATGGGAGCTGGCATACAGTAAGACCTATACTGTCAGCTAACGTTATTACTTTTCTTATTATTAAAATATGTAATATCTCCGATACATTAGAATCAGTGGTACTCAGTTGCTATGAACTGAACTGTGATGCACCCCCCAAAAAACATCTCCAGATTTTACACTGAAGCCCTAATTCCCAATGTGATGGAGTTTGAAGGTGAGTCCTCTGAGAGGTTTTCCATCAAGAAGGTCCTATCCTGATGAAAGGATCAATGCCCTTGTAAGAAAAGACGTGAAAGGTGTGGTCTCTCTATCCCTCTGAGCTCTGGGAAGAAGGCCCTCATCAGGAACTAATGAGATAGTGCAGCCATCAGAGCTCTTAGGAATAAATTCCTCCTATTGGTGGTATTGTTATAGCAGCCTCAACTGAATGGGACACCAGTTCTTACCAGCAGAGGGACCCAGTAGTAGTTTAAAGATGTTGGTCCTCCCAAAATCGCTGGCGTTTTTTCTGTGAAGAGTAAGAAGGCCAGCAAACCTACATTGAGAAAGCAGAAGATTACAAGTGCACAAGTGCATGTTACACCTTGTAAGGGTACACAGCTTTTTGTAGTAAAGCAGTTTTTACTAAGAATCTTGTCAAGTTTTCCCTCTTTATTACCACTTACCTATAAATGAAGTAACCAGAAGTTTTCCCAGGAGTAATACAAAATGTGTAACTTCATCCGTAACTGCAACTCTGAGGTGTGGAAAAAAGAAAGTGTGGTACTGTGTTTAAAAAGCATTTATGACTTGATATTGAGGGGAAGAAATAACTCATGAGACCATTTTGATGCATCTTTGCTGCAAATTTGCTCCGCAATTGTTACATGCAGGACATGAACATAGGGATTATTAAATGCAAGTCGCACCCAGGGAGGAAATTGTCACTTATTTTTAATGAAGTAAACAGGAAATGGCATCATAGGGCTGTTGGGTGCTGAGTGACAGGGCAGCTCTCCTCCATTTCGAGATGGAGACACCCTGAATCCTACAGATGTGTGTGTGTGCTCTGATTTTGCCCAATTATTCTTCATCGTTTTTGGGAGGGGGCAATGGTCAGTTTCAGGATGATGATGGGGCCATTTCTTAAGTAGAGGGATAATGCCAGTGGGGATAAAAACCAAGGTGGAAAATGAAAACTCCAATCTGAAAGCAAATTGATAATAAGAGAGAGACATAATTCTCTCCATTTAAAACACACTATTTGTACCTAAAAAGGTGACCAGTACTTCAGATAGCAGTGTGTAAAGGATAGAATGCTGAGGCTTGACAAACTTTCAGCCTGATTACTTACTTTAAAATATTTCTCATCAGAAGGTTGAAAGCATCTCTGGCTGACATGCAGAAGTTTTTGCCATGTATTGCAATCTGAGGATGACAATTGATATTATTTTAATTTCAGCATGCTCTGAGAGGATCAACAGACGATCTAACCCAATGACAGGACAATAACAATACCTGTCATCCCTACTGATACCTCCCCCAGCCTCTTTTCACCATTCGGGTTTGTGGGAGGTCTGGGAACTGTGTGTCTCCAATCTGCACAACTGTGGGTCACTAGTAACACTGTGTTTATCACAGGGTGCATCCCCAGGCTCTGGGGGATTAGGCAGCCTTCAACAGAAGCTGGCCTTATCTTTCAAATCCTAGAGACTGACTCTGCTTTTGAAATGTTTTGGCTATAGTCTATTGTTCAATGGGTTAAATATTGTGGTCTCAGCATTAAAATTTGCTCTGAAGGCAATCCAAAGCCTTCCCCTATACTTGATTTACTGATTAAAAGGCTCAATGCAGTATTCACAGGAAGAAAATTAATGTGTATTAGAATCACCATGACTATTCTAAGCACATCTCCAGACCCTGTGTCACTCTGACAATAACCAAATGTCATAAGGAGGTCATGTTGTAATTTATATCAAGATGTCCCTCAAGAGTCTCATGAATTCATAGTTGGGGTTTTGGAAGGACTGTGGATTACTGGGGTTTAGAGCTGACTGGCTACTAGGAGGGAAGAGGCAGGTCTCGGGGAGCGTGGTCTGGAAGGGTTTCCCCCCCCTCCTGCTCCTCCTAGAGTTCTTGGCTTCATGACCCCCATACTGTGAGCTCCTCTCCTCTGCCAGGCCCCTCTGCCATGCTGCCCTGTTTCGGAGCCAGCTAGAAATGGACTGAATTCTCCATAAACTGTGAGCCAGAATAAACCTCTCCTCTTTTAACTTGCAGGTGTTGTATATTTTGTCCCAGCACTGAGGAAAGTGACTAAGATATACAGCTTCTAAATTTTGAAAGAATTTTATTTCCAGATCCCCTAGTTTAAAATATTTCTGCAGAAATCTACCTAATTTGCATAAGAAATAAGTAATAAATTACATCACATTCCAACACATGATTCACAAGAAAGGATCAGACCTGCCCTCACAATTATGTACAGCCCAGAATTAGAAAGATAGTTTCTTCTTCCAGTGAAACAGACTAAATAAGCTTTTCACCCAATAAACTGTCAAAAACACATACTTCATTTGCAGGCTGGCATCCTTTTAAATTTCCAATGTAAATCATATTTGCCCTCTTGAGAAGTTACTGAGATTACTAACACCGTAGGGTGAAGAAGACACTGTTTCAACTGGGAGAACACCAATTCACGTGTTCTGCGCACGGATTCCCGAATCCTCCTCCTCTCAGCGCATCGATCCACGCTGGACTGCGCGGCCACCAAAGCACCGCAGTCTGAGCGCGCAGACATGGGTTGGGATTTGGGAAACAGCAATTTAACTAATAATAATTTTAAAACTCTACTTACCATAATATAGGCGTTTCTGTTTAAAAACTTTACCATTTTTTCCAAACACCAGAAACAGCACGTCAGACAGTATTTCAGGAATTTAGACGTGTGGCTCTGGGCATCTGTGAGAAGCAAATATTTAAACACAATGGCGTGCTTCCGCGTGCAATTTGGGGGCCTCAGCGCATTTGCTGTGTTACAAAATCATCGCCACTATGCATTTTCAGAACTTTGCATCTTCTCAAATAGAAATTCTGTCACCCTTCCACAACAATTCCTCGCCCTCCCACGGCCTCTTAGGACCTCTATTATCCTTTCTGCTGTATGAATTTGCCTCCAGGGCACTTCCTAAGCGAGGAGTATAAAATAAATCCTTTCGTGTCTCACTCATTTCACTGGGTTTAAGGCTCCTCCTTTCATTCCTTGTTAAGGTAGATATTCCGCTGTATGTTTGGAGCATGTTGTTCCATTCGACTTTTAATGAAATTTGCGTTGTTTCTGTCATTTGGCTCCTGTTACTAATGCCGCCAGGAACATCGGTGTGCAAATATCTGTGCACTTCTTGCTTTCAATTTTCCGAGTGTATCTTTAGAAGTGGTGTTTCTGGATTGATTGGAAATTCTGACTTTTTAAGGAACAATCACACTGCTTTGTACAGTGCCTCATCCATTTTATAGTTTCAACAACAGTATTAAATGGTTTCAGTTTTGCTATATCCTTACAAAACACAAACTATTTTATTTGCTGTATTTATTTATTTATTGGTACCGGGGATCAAACTCATGACCTCACACTTGCCAGGCAGGCGTTGTGCCACTGAGCTAAACCCCAGGTTTGTTACCATTTTTATAGCCACTCTAATGAGTGTGAAGTAGTATTCCATTGTGGTTTTGATTTCTCAGATGACTAGTGATACTGAGTATCTTTTCATGTCCTTATTGGCCATTTCTTTATAATATATCACCTTTGCAAAATTGTCTACTGAAATCTTTCCCCCCTTTTTTTCTTTTGCTGTTAGTTGTAGAAGTTCTTTATTAATTCTTCACTTAATATTTTCAAGTATTTTCTCCCATTATATGGGTCTCTCCATCCTTCTCTTTTTCTTCCTCACTCCTCCCCCCCCCTCCTCCTTCCTCTTGTCTCTCTCTCATCCTTTGATTTAATGCTTAAATGTTTTTAAGTTTGATCCTGTCCAATTTATTTTTCATTTCCTATACTTTTATCATTTTATAGTATTATTTGTTATATTTCCATCTTTGATCCACTTTGAGTTAACTTTAATTTAATTTAGTATAATTATGATTCCAGTTTTTCCAGCTTAAAAAGAGTGACTTTTTCATATCGAGTAGTTTTATGTGTAAGGGGTTTATTCTGAGATTCTGTTCTAGGTCTATGTGTCTGTCCTATGCCAGTATCACTCTTGATTATCGCAGCTTTGTGTTAAATTTGAAAGGTAGGAAGTGTTGATCCTCTAATTCTGATGTTTCTTTTCAGATGGTTTTGGCTATCTTTCAAGGCATATTATCAGCAGAGTTCATGTGTTTACAACTATATGTTTCATTAAAAAGACTTACAGCAATGTCACCCACATTTACATTTTACCAATATGACCTTAGCCCCAGACATGGAGCTGCCTACTGGGAATCTCTACTGTGCGTCTCAACAATAACACAGTAGAACAGAAATCTTAACCTCCTTTCTGACATTTGTTTCTCCTGGCTTCTGTATCTTCATATATAGGATCACACCAGCTTTATGCTTTCCTTCACCACTGCTCTTCCCTTCCTCTGGCAGCCAATCATTTAACAAGTCTCTTTGGGTTGCTCTTTAAAATATATCCCAGACTTGACCATTTCTTTGCTGACCACCCTTGTACCCAATTTAAGGTCATCAAACCCCCTCCCCCCATCCCAATCTATTCTCTATATAAGTCTGAAAGTCTGAGATACATTCTGAAGCCTTACTTTTAAGATGTCTGTCCAAGTATTCTAGGATCATTTTAAACAGATGAACTACTGCAATAATTAATGATCCAAATGCTAGGGATCCCGTGTGATATCTAGGCAAAGATAAAATGAGAACAAAGTTAAAATATTTTCACTATTATTTAACAGGTTTCTAGTTGGACAGTTTTCAGGTAAAGAAGATCTTCAAAAGATCTTATTCAAATTGGTAAAAGTCTCCATAAGTGGTTTTAAATCATAGACAACTGTCTTATCCTTTATCATAAATTTCATAAATTAGGATGTTTGACCTGATCAATGAAGATATAGGGTTGAATTACCTTAGTCTTTCATTCGATATCATACCCACTCCCATCTTTAGTAAATGATTGGATTAGAAAGATTTTAAAACTGTGGTTATGAAACCAGATAAGCTATTGGATATTACGAGTTTTGAATCACATTTTAGACCTTGTATGTAATTTGCCACTTGAATTAGCCAGCCCAGACTGAATTACAAGCACACTAAACATAGGTGAGGAAATGAGTGCAGAATTTAACATGAAACTTACCGTATTGCTTGTCCAAATGAAGTAAAAAGGGGAAGAGATGGGATGTCATCAGGTTTTTTCATGGCCCAGTAGTAACTAGCAAAGGCACCAGCAAGGGTACACTGACCCAATGCAAAGACAAAGTTTACAAGCCACAGAAAGACAAATATATTGTACCAATGCAAAGTAGATATGTACTGATGGTACAGACTTTTTCCGCCATAGAAAGCGAAGTTACAGAGAGCCCCTGGGCATTCTTTGGGAACATCGGTTGCATTAAAATTCTGTAGTCAGAAAAGATAGACATGAGAATATTACAGGCCATTTCAAGTTGATAACTCACTGCCTTTTCCTCCTTAGTTTTTACAGTTACTCTTCTATCTACTATCGCTTCATACCAAATCATTCTTTAATACACCCTGGAAAATATCTCACTTTCAGTCATATGCTCATCACTAGCAGCCATTAAAATTTCAAATTTATTAGTGTTTTCATCAACCATACCAGCCTCTGACAGTGTAAAAAGTCCCAGCAAAAGATAATGCTTTCTCTCTGTTCTGCCCACTAACTTCAGTGCTCTCTGCTATCACCTGACTCGGTCTCCCCTTCTGTACCTAGTTAACCTTCCTGCAGTGGATAGGAACTCTATCTCACCATGACTCCTACAATCGCACATGACATGCGGTAGATTTCTGTATCTATGTAAGCAAACAAGAAAGCTTCTTTTACTTACCGTGGGGTTACAGGTTTCATTTTCATGTACACATGGCCCCTCTGGGGCTGAAACTTTGTAGACAGGTACTCCTGATGTAGCCAAGGAACTGAATAAGCTCTATTAAGGATAATTTTACAGTAGATTGAAAATAAACAGACAAGGCAATAAAGCACTAACTCTGAAGTCCATGGAGAAATTAACCTCAAAAATCTTCTAATACTGTATTTTATGATTCAGCCATCTGTCAGGCCTAGATTAAGATAATTTTGGCCAGATGTACTGAGTAGTCCCCCAAACAGTCAGAACTTTGAAGAGGTTTCTTGGTTTGTATGAACACAAAATAAAGCAAATCTACCACATGACTGGTTTGTAGAGAAGATTAAGTCAGCAGACTGAAACTCTTTTATGATCTGGAGAAAAATTCAGTTATTTCTTCTGGATATTTCTCAGTCTTCTCAGGGATAGAAAACATCAGACACCAAATCCAGGTTTGTGAATTGTAACGTGAAAATAAGGTTTAAAAAGGTCAATTACCAAAGGATACACTGCTGTCACAACCCAGTAAGAAAAGCAGATCAAGAGCAAAATGAAAGTGAAAGCTGGATAAACTAACGTACTTGGGATGTATCCAATGGCTCTGAAATAAAACAAAACATGTCCATTGGTCTCTGGTGCAGACAGAGTGATGAGAATTGACTTTTACATGATGCAACTTAACTCCTTATTTTAAACGAAGCATTAAAAAGTCCTTCTTATCTGCCTATTTGTAACTTTCACTCACTAATTTGTGGGGAAGCAGTAATCATTTTGCCACCATCTCCTCACCTCTTTAAGTGACTCCTTATCTTTTTCTCCTAGGTAATCATTCCTTTCATATTTCCTCAAAAGATTTATAATGGTCACCAGCTCAGTTGCTGAGTTTCTAATTTCTTATTTTAAATGACTATTTCAGCATATGACAGTGAATTAAGCACAACAATATTTGATATAACTATTGGAAATTACTAGGAAACTCTTCTATCATTCCAGATATTCGGACATGACAGATTTCTTTTGCATTTGATACCTTGTTTGTCTCATTAATCCTCCGTTTACTGATGTTAAGTGTCTTTTGAGTATTTTTTAGTTTATTTTATGTTCTTATATCTATTTATTCCAGCCTTTATCTTGGTCTTTAACCACTTGTATCTCCTGAAAAAACTATTGGCCCCTCCCATTTGTATTGGCTGTGTATCACACATACACACGTGCACACACACATACGTATTCACATGTACACACCCAATTGGGGTCAGGACAAGTGGAGCAAGTTACAGTGAACTGCACAAAAACACACTAGTCAGGAAGTAAACCCAGACAATCAGTAGTTTTCAGTGGATAATGATAGGGTAACAGTTATTGTGGGAAAAGAGAGAGTTTAACAAACTGCTTGTTAACTGTTTCAACCACTGGCTTCAGGTGGTACTATTATTACACTAATAATATAGCAATTTTGTTAAAATAGCCCTTCAGGATGATTAAAAATAATTTGATGCTTTGCCCTTAACTACTTAGTTTCCATCATTCTGTGTAGAAAGTGTGGGTTTGGCTTTACAGGAATGTGTTCTTTGTTTCTTCCACGAATGATACCTTTTGGTATCATGTGACCTTTTGTAATAATTTGGAAATTATAGGTGTTCTTGCCTCTCAATATGAATCTTAGGAAAGACTTACTGTTTATTTCATAACATTTTAAAATAAAAAAAATGGTTGTAGGTACTAAATGTTTCTGAATTGTGAGCTTTATATACAAAATGTATAGCCTAGTACTCCAAGAATGAACCATGCTATTAGAAAATTTTCCTCTTGTAGAAATGATAATAGCATATAACTGACTTCATAGAATTATGATAATTTAAAGCTTTACAAAATAGTTCTGTCATTAATATTCACATGCAACCCACTCTGGAAATCATATAACCTATAACATAGCTAACTTTTATAGAGAATTTTGTTTACTTTTGTATCTACAACTTAGTGTTCTAAAATGCGATTACACAGACCTGACAGTTTTTACCATATGACAACTGAGGCCTGAGAATATTAAAGGACTTGGTAGTGATGACCTTTCTAATCAGTAAGAGTGAGAACTTGACCAAGTGTTCTTGGATGGAAAACATTCTCCAGAGAGTCTCCTGAAGGGGGAAATGGGGCAGGGCATCCATGCAATACAGGGGCTGAACTACCTGACAGGGACACAGAGTTCCTACAGTAAGGGCCTTACTTGCTTCCTTCCTTCAGTAGAACTATGGCCAAACGAATTCGTCTCCTGAGGAAGATCAGCAAGAGGATGATAATCATTTCAAGGATGACGAGTATTATCACTTTGAAGAGGAAAAAAGAATTAGTTTGTGATACAAAGCAATTCAAAAAACATACCAAAATCTCTCTGAAAAGGTTAGGATTAAGCTTTGTGATTATTTCCATCAGTTCTGATTCCTCATAATTTAAGCAGTGCTACTCTCTACCATGCTGGTTCTAGACTTTTGACACCTCTAAGAAATACTAAAAACTCCAGACTCAAACCATTAGTGAGAGCTTGAACAACTGACTTGAGCAGGCTTCATTTCATCCATGAAAGTGTTTCACAGCACCCGTATAAACTGGGCACAGACGTGGGGAAGGGAGGGCCACTCGAGGTGATGCCAATTCAGATGTACTCACTGTTAGCTTCACTGAGAAAGAAACCACTACAGAACACACCTGGAGGTTCTCTTTTGCTCTCAATGCCCATGGCCTGTCTTTGCTAACTGACAGGGCAGGCTCTTGGCTGCTATGCTTTTATTCAGGGACCACTAACTGATGCAAACAGGGTGTCAACCCAACCCAACATGGCCAGTACCAAAACTACGGGACTCTAGTTCAGTTTTGAGGTCTTGTAGGTTTGAAGGCTTAATAAACATTGAACTGTGTCAAAATTATCTTTATGCGAAGACAGCAAATCTGCAAAGAAAGAAATGTATGTGGGTAGAGAATTAAAAAGAAATCTTAGGTTCTTGCGAGCTTATCTTCTGCACCTTCCTTTTTATTTTCTTAAGAGCTTGATGAGTCATTTATGTATTTTTTAAAATAAAAACTCCCATTCTCTATCCCTGTCCTGTTCCAGTTATTTCTCCTCAACTGCTGGCTGAATTAGTTCTACTTAACTTGATGACATACAGACTTTTCTTACATCTCCTCAATTCTGACACACTAATTTAATAACAAATGTTTTAGAAAAAAAAGCAGAGAAACCTCTCACTCGATAACTATTAAGCAATTTTGTGATGCATTCTGATTTCAGAAATGTTAACAAGGAAAAACGTAGGGATCTTAAAAAGGAATAAATGGTATTGCTCAAAATAGATCCTAAAAGTCTTAAAAACAGTTCATGTAAACTAAGTGCTGTGAAGGAATGCCTTCTACAATCACTTTGCTGTGCAGTTGTTGGGTGCATGCTCTAATACTTTCAGTGGTACAGAGCTCATAATTTCCATAGTTATGCCTGTAAGAGTCTCGGATTATATCACGTGTCACATAATATCTCCAATGAGTGCAAACTGGTTAATCCAGAGGGCTGAGAGAAATTTAGTATCATCTGGATTCTAATATCTTTTAGTTAATCTGTGACTATGCTTCCTTTGTTATTAGTACATGTTTGTAATACAGCAGATTATAATCATCTAGGGGAGTGGGTACATGTACTTGTTTATTTAATCTCCTTTTCTCCCCTCCTCCTTCAATTCACACTTCTCCATCTTCATTCTTGTTGATGTTATTAATCTTGGTTCTTGCTGTGGCATATACTGTTCACATTCATTGAGGTTATTAGTTTCCTGTACATGGGATACCTTTATTCTATTTATTCTTCCTTCTTCCCCACAACTTAGTTCTCTAAAACAATGTAGAGCCTTATATTGTGGTAACCAATGAATGTCCGATAAACCTGAGGTTCCTTTGAGAAAGTTTTGTCTTGCTAGTCTTGAAATTTTAAGGGGAAAAGGATCCACTGTATTTCCTTAATAGTACCTCTCTTGAAATTTCCAGTGGCAGAGTTTGATCCTATTCAAGACACTTTTGTGGAAGGGTCTTCTGACCATACAACTAGTAACTTGAGATCCATTCAAGAAGAGAAGGAGAAGTTTCAATACACAACTGGTGAAAATTGTCTGCTTTAGAAAGGTCAGATAAGGGAGCAGATCGCTGAAGAGATAAGGAACCACCCAGGCTAAGGTAAAGCCGCAAGAGTACAATTCCCAAGCTGCCGAATTTTGTAGTTAAAAAAAGAAAACTTACAAAGAGGCAATTGTTCCGTTGCACATTTAAAAAAAAAAATGCAAAGGGAGGAAAATAGTCTTCAGGGAGCTAAAAATGGAAAGTCAAAGAATAAGATTTGACATTGTGTTCAAGCCTTAGCCAAGGAAAAGAGAAAAACTGAATTTGGCAGGCAAAAGAATCCGGTGGGGCTCCTGCGCTGCAGAGCTGGTTTATGGAGGTGGCCCCCAGCCTGAAGAAAACGTCTCGGCGGGCTGTCTTCAGCTCACAGGAAGAGTGCCTTAAGGTATGAACAAATAAAACGGCATCACATCATGACGATGTAAGTTGGGGCCATCCTCAAAAGCCTGAGAGTTTTTGAATGAAGAGGCAAAATCACAATTCCCACCTTGTGAGGGTGGGACCTAACCCCAAACCATTCTGCACCTCCAGATATCAGCCCCTTCTAGGGATCTTTTTGGGCTTCTTACCATGATTCCTCCAATATGGAGATGAATTTTTTAAAGCAATATAATAAGATATTAAAATCTCGGTCAAGAACACAAGTCTTTGTGAAGTACAAAGGAATATTATAATAAAGCCATTCTAGGAATATAAAATTAAAATCATCTTGCTTTAAAAAAAAGTGCTAGTATTACCCTTAACTATTTCAATAATCTGAATAAACATTTCAAAATGTGAGTTTATTTTTAGTTATTGATTACAATTCCGGTAATAGTTCACATGCTTTGTTATGAAATTTTTTCCTATTTTACTTTTGTTTTAAAACAAGTTTAAAAAATCAAGCATATATATTTTCTAAACACCTTTCTTTTTTATACTCAATGGTCAATTTTTTTATTTCATGGAAAAAGGTAAAACAAAATTTCATAACAAAATAATAGGTGTGTAACACTAGTTAATATATTAAATGTTATTGCTAAAAAGTAATTGCTCAGGGTATAAGATATGGGCATAAAATTTCTTCAATTGATATTTGCACATATCTTCCTTTTGAATGAACTGAGAGATCCTAATAGGATAACTGACTTGAACTTTGTCTCTTTTCCTCACTGTCCGAAAGGACGTCCCCATTCTATCCCCTCTCCCCCACTTTGGAATAATTTCTTCCCATTACACAGTACCTATTGTACATTTTAGAACTTATTTACCCTTTCAGTTTCTCATGCCAGGGGGACAATAAGATGTTTACACACCTGAGTTTGATTTATTTCACTTGGCAGTATGGTCATAAATTGCATCTATTTACTTTTAAAAGTCTCAAGTTTATTCTCCTTTATACTGAGTAGTACTTCATTTTTTAAAAAATGTCACATCTTTTTTTATCCATTTCTCAGTTGGTGGGCATTTGAGTTGTTTCCAAGATTTAATTGTTACGAGTTGTACTGCTATAAACATGGGTGTATGCATGTTTCTGTGGTATGACATTTTCAGTTCTGAATGGGGTCCTCTAATCCGGGTTTTTAAAGGAATCTCCATGCTGATTTCCACAGTGGTTGCACCAGTCTACGCTCCCACCAGCAGTGGAAAAGGGTTTCTTTTCCCCCACAACCCCACCGGCATTTGTTATTGGTTCATTTCTTCATGGTTACCACTCTTGTCTGGATGAGATTGAATCTCAGTGTTGTTTTAATTTGCATCTCTTGAATGACCAGTGACATTGAACATTTTTTTCATATATGTATTTGCCATTCATATTTCTTCATCTGAAATGTGCATATTCATCTCAGATGCCCATTTTAGGATTGCATCTTTGAATTTGGAGGGTCTCATTTTTCAATTCTTTATATATCAGATATAAGCCCTTTATCTGACACACAATTGGCTATAACTTTTTCTCACTTTGTGGGTTGTCTTTCCACTCTGTTAGTGATTTCTTTTATTATGCAAAAGCTTTTTATTAAGATGAGATTCCAGTTTGTTCATGAACTCTCTACCTACACCTGTACTTTCAAGATTTCTATCTATTTTCTCTTCCAGTAGACTTAGTGTTTCTGTTTTAATATTTAGATCTTTGATCCATTTTGACTTCAGTTTAGTGCAGGGTGATAGACATCAGTCTAGTTTTACTCTTTGACATGTAGAGAGCCAGTTTTTCCAGTACCATTTGTGAAGGGCTGTCTTTCTTCCACTTTGTCAAAAATAAAGTGGCTGAGTAGTTGTGTCTGCATCTTATAATCTGTTCCATTGGTCCTTTAGTCTGTTTTTCATTGCCAGTACCATGATGATGTTAGCATAGCAGCTTTGTAGTATAATTTCAAATTAAGAATTGTGAGGCCTCCTGCCTTACCTTTGTTGCGCAAGATTGCAGAGACTAGATTTGGTATGCTAGTCTCTTACGTTTAGATGAATTTTAGGAATGTTTTCTCTAGTTCTATGAGGTATGCTAATGATATTGGGATCGGATTGCATTAAATCTGTATAATCATTTTGGAAATATGGCCATTTTCACTATGTTGATTCTCCCTATCCATGAGAAAGGGTTGTTTTTCCATTTTCTGATATTCTCTTCAATCTCCTTTTTTCAGAGTACTGTGATTTTCAATATCCCCTGTTAGATTCATTCCTGAATATTTCATTTTTTTTCATGCTATTGTGAAGTGTGTGGTTTCTCTAATTTCTCTGTCAGTTTGTTATTTCTGTAGAGGAATGTTATTGATTTTTGAGTGTTGATTTTGTATCCAGTTTTGTATCCACACTGCTGAATTTGGTTATTAAATGTAGAAATCTTTTGGTGGAGTTTCTGGGGTCGTCTATGTAGAGTATCATGCCATCTGGAAATAACGACAACAATTTCTTCGTTTTTTATTCTTATTCTTTTTATTTCTCTCCCTTGTCTAATTGCTCTGGCTAGTTTTTCCTAAACATCTTTTTTAGATATCAGATTAATGTCTACAAATGTCCATCATCAAACCACTTTAAGTTAAAGGCAAAAGGCTTGAGATGTTTTTAAAAAAGATGTTTTTAAAGATGTTTCCTTAGATTACACAGTAAATTCTCCTCAGTGGATTTTTCATTTACTATAGTTTACAGACATTTACTTGTAGTTACATTAGTGATGAATGTATTTAGTGGGTTATATCCACCCAAAGTTTCCCTTAGATAAAAAGTTTCCCATTATTACAATTTTAACAAAATTCATTTTAAAAGTCTACTTACTTAATACGAACCATGTCTGTTTCAACTGAAAGTACATGGTCATATTAGTCTGAATCCCAATGTTATAAAGAGTTATCAAAGATTCTGGTTTTTTCTGAAGTTTATTGTATTGCTGGTAACAGTAAAATATTCCTTGAAAAGAAAGAAAACTAGATTAATATAAAACATTTTTCTGAGATAGAAGCTACTTTCTTATTAAACATACATATAAGAAACAGATCGGTATGGTCATTTCCTCGAGGGAAGATTCCTATTAACATAGTCATTATCCTATTTGCATTAACAGCCTAAATGTGCTACTGCGTTTAATATAAGCTGTTGGTATTTAATCTATATGACTGGCAATATCTTATTGTCAGTGTGCCCTTGACTAGCAACAACCTTAATTACCATGAGTGGGGACTGGTTAAATCAATTATGGTGTAATTTGTTCAGTAGAAAAAAGTGTTAAAATCTCCCCTATGGGAGAGTCTTACTCAGAACCAATTTATTATTTACTGGCTTGCTGATTTATCCCTGTAATTCTGTGAATGTAAAGGCAATTTTAACAGGTGCATATCCTTTTATGATTGGTATGGTTTTACTGAACTGAATCTTTTCTATTGCTAATACTTTTTGCTTTAAAATCTATTGTGTCTGGTTATTAGGGCTTCTACAACCTTGTTTAATAAATGTTAGTTTTTTAAATCATCCTTTCACTTTTAAATGTTATCCTTTCTTTTGGGTTGTATAACCATTGTGCATAGCATACAGCTCCAATTTGCATGTGCATATCTTAATCTGACCTGACCATTTCTGTATTCTAATTGGTAAATGTAATACATTTACATTTAATGTACTGTATGTTTGTATTTATCTCTCTTCTTTTGCCTTCCTTATTCCACTGTCTACATGAATTTGCTTCTGGTTCTTGACTTTTACAGACTCATCATATTTTGGTTATTTACATTCCATTTTTTTTCTCTTTTGCTTGGCGCTGTCTAGTCTTTTATAATTACTTTTGAAAATCTGCTGTACGCTAATAATGAAGTTTAAAGTTGAATATTTTAAGAAAGAAATATAAGAATTTTTTCTCAACAGTCATCTCATTATGGTTATTGTTCAATATGTTAGTCACATAAATTTTAATCCAAAAATTGGATACTCGTTATCATCATCTCATTTCGGTAATGTTGGTTTCACATTACTGACACGTTTACTGGCTCCTTTTCCTCGCCCATTATCCTGTCTCATAACATCTGTGCTTTTATGGACCAGTTTCCCTTTCTCTCAGTCTCTTCACAACTCCATCCCACCCAGGAGGAAATAAATGTGTTCCCAACCATCTTCCTTTCCATCACTGTGTTCTGAGTGGCCTGCGTTTGTGTGCGGGTTACTCCATCACCACCTTGCAGGGGTCTCATCACCACCAACAATGCATCACTACAGTCGTTGTCAACATGGGAACCACAGCATCATCGCAGCACACCTCCCCTCTGCTTCAACCCTCCCCCCCACCCAGTGCTCCCCATCACACTCGGAGCAACACCAAAGGCCTGGCAGTCAGCAGAGCGTGCTCCTCTTCTCCCCATACCTGCTTCTCTTGCACACTTGACCCCCAGACTCTAGCTGTTTTCCCAATGGGCCTCTGCTCCATCTGCACACACTGTCCAGAATATACTGTCTCCTCACTGCTTAACTGCAACCCCCTCCCCCTCAATGTCTCCTTACAATTCCTCCAAAAAAGACCGACCCTGGGGCTGAGGAGCTAGCTCAGCTGAGAGTCTTGTCAAGCATGCACCAGGCCCTGGGTTTGATCCCTAGCATTGCAAGGAAAAAAAGAGTGGAGAAAAAAAAAAAAAGAGAGGTGAGGAGGGAAGAGGAGGGGAGTGAAGGGGAGACTGAGCCTCATAGTACTGCAACTTTACATTTTGACTTCTCATCCTAACACGGCACTGTCTTCCCTTCCCTGCTCTGCTTTGTCTGTTTTCCGCAGCAACTGTAACTTGTTCCCTCTCATACATAGCTTACATAACCTATGAGGATCAGGGTAAGAGCCTTTGTGTGCTCACTGTGGTATGCTGAGTCTAGTGTTATGCCTGTGCATAATTACTCAAATGATGGATTTCTCTTCACTCTCCTTGGCATAATTAGAGCTTTCTGTGTCTAAGGATCCGTATTTTCATTAGTTTCAGAAAATATTCAGCCAACAATTTCAAAATATGTTGGTATATGTTAGATTATTCTTGATCTACTGCTCTAAACACACAATCGAGTATTTGTTCCCTTGTCCCATTCTGCTTGGTTCTAAGTAATTATTTAAGATTCATTTCCCAGTTCAGTTTTCAATTTATCAATTTAATGTTTAACCTAACAGTTCTTTAATTTTACAAAGTTCTATTTGGTTCATCATCACGTATACAAAATGTGATCAAAACATACAGTTAATATATAAATTAAAAATTATTATAATAAAAGACATTGCCATTAACCCCTCTCCTTTGAACATATTTACCACTTCTGCCACTTGCTAAAGTACTTTGTGTTCTGTATGAGGTGTAAAAAAAAATGTAGTGCCTGCTGCTGCTGAGCCCTGCATCGTGCAAAGGCAAAGGCAGGCCTGTGAAAACATTTCAGTGCGCCCTCATCTACCTCGTTTCTAGATCTGGACCTAAACAAAATGATGATGAAAGGTAAACATTTCGAATCAATTCAGGATGATAAGGCAGATATAAAAATAGAACAAAAAGATGGAAGAAGACTTCCCAGAACTGTATTGGAAAATGACAAGAAAGATGGGATAAATGTCTAAAGTGTGTGTGTGTGTGTGTGTGTGTGTGTGTGGTTGGGTGGTTGGATGGGTTATTTTGAAGGGCATTAATGGCAAGGCATCTTAAAATAATTTTTTAAGAATGTGAACATTCACTATATTTTTCAGTCACATGGCATACATGGGAATTTTTATCAACTTTTATGATTCCATCTTTAAGCCTTTAAACATTTTACACACAGCTATTTCACGTTCTAGACCTATTCATGTTTATAGCTTCTGCTGCTATCCACACAGCACTGTCTTTGGATGTTTGCTAATTTCCTATTTATTGTGTGGATCTTAATCTGGGGAAGCCTGGTGACCTGCCTTAACTACTCTCATCAGAGGAGCTTTGAGCTTGCTCCTGTAGCACCTGTGGGTGCTAATAAACTGGGTCTGCTTCAAACGCCCCGCAGGATCCCTGTCTTGCTACAGTTGCTCCCGGGACCCTTGCCCCACTGCAGGCTCAGGCTTCAGCGCCGGACCCCCGAGCTTCTAGCTGTGCCCAGCATTGCCCATGTGATTCCTGCCCGCTACCCCCACGCCGCATTGGATTTAGCCTCCAAGTTAAAGGAGAATCAGAAAAATAAGAAAGCAACAAATCCCCAAGTATGCAGTGGGAATGAAACACAGTAATAAAACAATTTGCGGGGGAATTCCTTTATTTCCTCCAAACTCAGTATTACAGCTTGGATGATCATGAATGCTCCTCTGAAAGTTAAAGGCAAGGTCCCCAGGGGGGCGCTATTGGAAAGTGGTGAAATCATTCAGAAGAAAGGGATCATGGGAGGTTTTCAGTGGAAGAGGGTGCCCTGGAGGTGGTTGTGGTATCTTGGGTTGCTGCTTCTTTCTCTCTCACTCTATGACTTGTGATGGGGACAGTTTAGTGCCCCACTCATTCCTGCCGTGATGTTTGCCTCATCAGGCAACCAAAGCAGTATCTGCCAGCCCCTCATAATGGACAGGAAACTTAACCATGGGCAAAACTAAACCTTTTCTATTAATAAGTTGATTGACCACCCAGATACTTTGTTATAGTAGTGGGAAGTTAACTCATTCATCAAAACAATTTATTACATTAAAAAACCCAAGTTTTACTCCATTATTTCCTAGCATGAGGGCCCTAAGCAGGGCTTTCGAATTTCCTTTTATCTCTTGCCCTAGATATTTTTAAAGATAAAATTTATAGGTTTCAAGCCCTTTCTCTCCTCAATGATATTGTTGCATACCAAGCAGCAACAGGAACAATAAACACTATTAATAAATACAACTCCTATTACCTAGCTGAATAAACTATGAGTTAAATTACATACTAGGAGAGGATCTCACAATGAGTATATGATACGCTTGGGGTTGCTCCTTTTTAAAACTTTTAGACGCCTTCTGACTTGTTCTGTTCACTGAGAATTACACCGTCAGTGTGTACTAACACTTGCCCAACAACAGCCTGCCCTTTTTTCTGCATAGTGTGACATAGCCACATTCTCTAACCTCCTAGTAAATGGATTGCCCTAGGAAATCACTGGCTCTTTGTTATACACAGAAAATCAGTTGTCCAAGATACATGCAGAGATTGGCTGCATTCAATCTTATTTACTTATATTTCCCAACCTGACTGGACATTTTGCCACCATAAAAGCATCAAGCTTAATTCCTACACGATTGGGTAGTGCTGGGTTGGCACTAGCTATGGAATCAACAGGGAGCTAAAATTGATTGTTTTATGTGCACTTTCTATAAATTGATCATCTTTCTCACTTTTCCCATTATCTAAACTGCACACAGCCAAGCTTAGATTTCTTCTGCTTCTTAAAATAAATCAGTGAAGTCAATAGCAGACTATGCCCTTTCCTTCTAGATGACAATTAAAGAGTGAATGAATCACATACCTTGACTGTCCAGGGGTAAAGGGTAGGGGTTACTTAGCGTTCCAAGTAGGAACACAAAAACTTTTAAAGGAAAGCTTTCTGTGGAGTTTCTGGTTGGTTTAGGGACAGCAGTTCTCTACCAGACTGACCCACTTTTGCTCTGTCACCTGGCTGTGCTTATGAGGAAACCCAGGTGGGATTCAGAAGTAGCTGCCCAGCAGGGGCAGAAAAGGAAGGCAGAACCTGAACTGCTTCCTGGAATTTCCTCAAGGACAATGAGGAAGACAACAGTAACCTAACCTTTTTTTTCAACTGATTCTTTTTTACTGTGTTCCAAGCACTCTTAGATGTACAAGTGTTTCATTTTCTCCTTTATTCCTTCCAATCTTCTGAGATGGAGACACTGTTATTGTGCTGATGTCATGTCTTATAATCATTAGGAAACTTTTCTGTAGCCACCCAGTTCTTCACGGCGGAACTGCATTAGAGCCCAGGCTAACTGTGGAGCCTGGAGCTCCCATTGCATTCAGATGCTAAGATACACAAAGCTCTCCTCTGAGCGACAGGAAAATGAGATTGTTATTTTTGGTGTCTAATATCATAAAATCATGTTGTCAATTCAAAGTGTGTTATGGGGAAATCATTCTTTTGAGTAGAATCCTCACAAACATTTCTGCATTCTTTTTGTGTTTTTTGAAGACTGAAAGAAAACTGCCATAAATAGCATATCTTCCTATGGGAGACGCTTTAATTCCTTCATTTAAGAGTTCACGTTGTAGCTGATCCCTACAGCTTAGCAGGCTGCAGTTAGGGTTGCATTTCAACCTTGAAATAAAACTCTTCTGCCAATAATTGTAATTCAGAATACTTGCCTCTAGAGGGTGGTGCCTCATTATGAAGTATCAATTATTAAAATACGTGACAGTACCAGCATTAAAAGTACTAAGCTGATGGGGAAAAACAGATCCTGTTAATATAAACACGCAGAAATGGTCTCTGATCAGATATAAAAGTTTAAAAAGGAGTTGTCTGTTTTTTACTCATCTAAAAGAAATTTGTTTACTACTTTGTAATAACCATGGGGAGTGAGACCAAAGCTTAGGAAGGAAAAGAATAATATCCTGACAGCACCATCTCCTTAAGTAACACAGCAAAAAGTTACAGGAACAATGCATGACAAATGAAATAATTTTGTAAATGTAATGATTTAGGGGAGAAAATAATTAAATCCAAAGCAAGTAAATGTTTTCCGGGAATTGGTACCAGGTGGAAAAACAAAGGGTTATTCTGATATTTGGAAATTTTTGGCGGGTGATACCTACCATATGCTATAATGTGAAGCACACCCAACACGAAGAACCAGAAGAGGAATCCAACTATGAACCTCAGCAGCACCAAAAATATCCAGCTAAGGATCATGGCAATCGTCAGGCCACTAAAGGAAAAATCCACAACACACACAGGGGTCAGGTGAGCTAAACATGCCATAGCGTGAACAGCAAAACAAGCCTGTTTTCTCTTCAAAATGATGCTTAGAGTATTTTACTTTCCTTGGCTAAAGGATCTATAATATTAAGAAATATACACAATAACTTTTATGAAGACCTTCATACAAAAGAGTAGAGGTTTTAGCAGATGACATTTTTGTGTGCCGAGCAGTGCACTATCCATCACTGTCCAAGGGAAATACGGTTCCTCCAACTACCATGCTGACCTCTCTACCATAGTCGTCATGTCCAATTTTTCTCCCTCACACCTACACACTAGCTGATAAATTATGAAATATACACGGGATGAACTTGTGCTGTTCTATCTGGTGACTAGCTGCACGGTAGCCTAGAAGGGAATAGATTTGAAGCAAAAAGAAACTGGTACGTGGATTCTAAAATCATGATTTCCTAGTTATTATCTCTACAGACCAGCATCTACCTCAGATTTCCAGTAATCTGTGAGTCATATTATGAAGCAACTGTAAGGCTTCTGTGTCCCCTGGTCCTGTGGCTTTATTATACAATCAATAGTCTGCAATCAACAGTCTGACTATTACTTGTCTGGTTTTTGTTGTTGCTGCTTTTTTTTTTTTTCTTTCTTTTTTTTTTGGTAGCAGGGATTGAACTCACGACTTTGAGCTTGCCAGGCAGGCCCTTACACTACTGAGTTAAATCCCTGGCCCTATTTGTTTGTTTTAATTTCTGCCTAGAGTTAACAGGCCTCCGAGAGAAGCTTCTTTCCCCCATATACCCAGGTTAAGACCAAAATCGAGTAGTCTCCTGATACACTTTGCTCTAAGAGAGCTCCCAGGATTAAACTTGGCTGATTATTTTATTTAAAACTGGCATCAGTGCTGCCATCTGCAAGTTTTCATTCACAGCCAGTGAGGGAGTGTGGCACGTTTACTGAGTTTATAGCCTCAAGCGTTATCTTTTTAAAATCCTTAATCATTGTTGTCACTGGATCAATGGCTGCACGGTATCAAAGCTCCTTCTTGGGTCAGAGACTTGCAGTCTATGTTTTCAACTTCAAAAGCCATTCCTTCTTTAAATCAAAGCTACTTTAATGCTTAAATAGTCAATAAGATCGAAGAGTTATGTTATGGTGTAGTACATGGAGAATATTTTAAAAGGTTGGTTTGGGAGAAGAAAGTTGTTTACTTTGTTTTAATTTATTTCATAAAAATGATAAGTGCATAAACTAAGCCCCAGGATACTTGTACTTTAGATGTAGATGAGAAAGGAAGAAGCAAAAATAAAGGGAGGTATTGCTATTCCAGAGATATCAGTGGTGCCCGTAAAATTTCAGTGTTGGTAAGGTGGTTAGGAGTCTCATGATGTGCATTTGTTGAGGGAAAAACAGAGAAGCCAAATGAGCAACATGGAATCATAGAAATTAGCAAGAGAACTGTTAGCGACATTTGCGACTGACACTGGGAAAATAAGCTTAACTACTGTTAAGTACAAACTTCCATTTTTGCCCCGGAGAAATGCTCTGTGACACGCTGAAAATAACTGTGGGAGTTGTTTAAGAAAAAGCATCAAAACAAGTAGAATCTCATAGAATGATGTAACAGTTCTGTATTACTCACTAATATCTCAGACACGATTTCTACTTTATTAAGCCCCATACAGTTAAATATATTGCTTCTATCTTCTAATATTTATGACTTCTTTCAATCCCATATTTTCTGCACATCTACTGTAACTCAAAAATTTTACTAGGAACTAGGAAGATAGAAATGAGTCAATCATGGCTATCAAAATAAAAAGCTGGCTGTTTATCAGAGGGAAACTATAAATAAAACCCAGATGGTAGGTGCTTTGTAGAAGACAAATAGGTATGTATATGTGGAGGCTTTGCAAATGTCACTTAACAGCTTTTAATGATTAAGGGGAAGCATCCAGGATTCACAGAAATACTTTCCACACAAGAGAAAAAGGTGTGCAGAAAGATGAGGTTAAATGGTCAGATGGGCACATCATTTGATCTATTAAGAATAAAGAGTTAATCAAGAAACATGAATAGCGTTGCCTCTGAGAAAGTAAATTGGATCCACTTATAAAGGTCCTTGGAAGTGTCTAAAGACATGTCATCTTTATTTTGTGATCCCTAGGAAGTCAAAGAAATGCTTAAGCTCTAGAAAGTGACCTTAAAGTCACATAGCATGACAATCTAAGGTATGCCAAACACATTCACCTACTTCAGTAGAGTGACTCCATCTCTTTAACATGCCAGCATTATAAATCTTATGCTTGAAAATTAAAAATATCCTTTTTGGTATTCATAGTTTGCCAAAAATATGTATACACACTTCAGCAGTCCACGTAGCAATAAATGTCTGGAAGCTCATGGCCACCACTTTGATCACCTTTTGTAATTGCAGAGGTCAAAGGCAACTTTTAATAATCTCATGATGTCTCGATAAATTTAGTATTAAAATATTCAGGCAAGTTTTTCTTTTCCTGATGTCTACATCTTTTGGTGGACTCTGTTTTTTCCACTTCTCATAAGCATGCTAACCTCTGATGATAATGACGACAATGATAACAATTATGTGGAAGAGGTATATTAAAAGATAGGAATCATCTTTTAATCAAGGGAGGTCATGGGAGAAAAACTTGTAAAAAAAAGAACCAGAGGATAAAAGCATTGTAATATGAACATCACACAAGTCCCACAAACACAGAAGTACTACAGACACTGCTGCAGGTGACTCGAAATATATATATACTCATTAATAATTCAATAAATATAATTAAAATTTACATTCTGATAACTTTTTGCTAATGCTGGGTGTGTTTCTAAATATCTTTGTCCTATTTTCAACCTATCTGAAAAAGAAAATGGCACTGAGAACTAAGTCAATATTTGATCCATGAATAAGAGCAACAAATTTGAGGAAAGAGTCTACAAAAATAAAATCAGAACGAGGCCGGAGAAGACACAAGAATATGTTTTCACTTACATGACAATCCAGTACCAACTTGTTGCGTAGTCCTCAAACACTTTGAAAGCGATTTCTCTTGCATTAAGGATTTTATTGATACCACTGAATTCAAAAAAGGAAAAATTGTTTTTGACAAAATTTAAACAGAAATGCTCTTAGAATAAAGGAAATTTGCAAGTTGCTGTTCAAAGTATATTTTTAGAAGCTATCTATCACAAATTACATTTTTAAAATTCACAATACATAAAATGTCATGGCAGTGAAACTGCAAAGGTGAGCGAGTCTGGGAAAGCAGATAAGCTGGCAGAGGTGGACACAGCCTCACACACAGAGAACATGGCTTTCAAGAACAGTGAGCAAATTATTCTCCAGGATATGCAACATGCCCTCAATATTGCAGGAGCTCCCCAGAAAGGAACACATTTCAATGATAAGATCAGCTTTTAGTTTATAAAATCCAGAGTTGAGAAAGAAGATCACCTTTAATTCCCCTTCCTCCTCCTCTGACAGCTCCATAGCAGCAGAGCACGACCGGCTCCACACGGAAGAGTGGTTAGACTATGAGGGTCCAATGTGAGGAGTTATCAGTGTGAACACACTCATATAAATATACCGAGGTCAGCCTTTCCTCACGTGCCCTCGCCCCCAAGGTAACTACTGTACTATTCTGACTTTGGTGATAACAGTATCCTAAGTTTTCTTTTAGTTTCAGCATTTATGTATGTAGCACAGGACAATTTAATTTAGTTCTCCTGCGTTTTCATTAAATATCATTATCATATTATTTTATTATTTCTTTTACACAGCTTCATTTTCCTAAATCCTCTATGTTGCTGTCAGATTCTAAAAATGCATGAACTGTATTATTACTAATATCTTTTAAGAAAGACAGACATTTTTAGAATATTTTTAGTTCTTTTAAATTCAACGACTGAGCTATGCAGTGAAATTCTATGGGTCTATATTTTTATCTGTGTACACATGAACTTACATCCAGAGAAATATACTTCCCAATAATTTTTGTATAGCCAGACAGAAACAGTAAATGTACTGAATTATAGTTAGCGTATAGCTGGGGATTTAGTTCAGCAGCATAGGGGCCTGCCTGGCAAGTGCGAGGTCATGAGTTTGATCCCGTACCAAAAAACACAAGAAATATATAGTTAATGTACAGAATTTGATATGGCACCAAAATTCTTCCTTGTCACATTTAGGTTCCTATCAATAATGAAAGACAACCATTTTGCAAGCAATCACTGTTCTAACTCATTCTGGTTTCTTCTTTTTTACATGCTTTCCTTCTTTACACACTGCCAAGGTATCCAGTTGAAGAAGTGTATTGTTTATAGTAACGCAAATCTTTCCTATACCCCTTAATCTAGGAGCTTTAAAATTGGATGCTTAACAGGATGCATTCATACTGAAAACAGAAACGTGCACAAACGTACTTGGCAGCCTCTCTGAGTTCCAAAACAGTCCTCATCCTGCCTCGCCCGTCTTCAAAGTGCATCCTATGTCCTATCGTTAAAGTACCGTTTTCTTTAATGAAGTCAGGAAAACATCTTTGGAGAACTGCAGAAACAAATTTAAATCATCGTTATTGTTTTTCTACCTCTTTTATAATGTTCTCCTTTCTTACATTTTCTGTTATTTATAATCAAATTTTTTCAGGGTATATAAGTTGCTCAGAAAGACAGCTAATAAATTGCCTTTTAGTTGCTGATTTGAAGATTTTTCTGATAGCTCTATGACTGAAATAGACTGCAAATATAATCCAAACCTGAAGCTGCATTCCAAATCTATGGATTATTTTTTACTTGTTATGTTCCTCAAATTGTCACAAATAAGATGTAGACTCTAAGTGCACACTCATGGTGAACATACAATAGAAGATCCACATTCACTTGTATGACTGAATGAGCTTAGGGTTATTATTTTTAAAATTGTTTTGAAATCCCTGAGTGAAACATTGAAGATTAGACATTAGTAAATATTTCCAGCTCAAAGTTTAGGCTACTAAGCTAACTCAACTGTTGTTTGTGAATTCTTAATAACTTGTCTGTCCTCTTCCAACATTTTCATTTACATAGTTTTTTGGAGGGAGTAAAAATTGAAATTTGGCAGCTATCCATGGAAGCCTACAAATTGTACAGTGTAATTTCTAACAAGAGTTAAAACAATGTTCAATCTTCTATGTTCTTGTTTTGATTAAATAAAATCATCATTCCCTTACAAATCCCTTACATAACATATATTCCAGCCTCAGTCCTAAAGAGTTGAGGAAAGCCAGAAACTGGATCATTTTCATGTTCTTTATTATAAGAAGCAGTACCAAGTTGCATCCAAAGCTTAAACCTGAAAATGTTAATTCAGGGAGATAAGAAATCCTGTACGTCTCTGTGACGCTTTTCTTGACTTTCCTGGAAGCTGTTGCCCATCCACCTCCAGCTTCTGTAGCTTTTACATGACCAGTTCTTTCTGTCCCCAACCTATCTTTCTCATATTTTTCCTTCCTTGCAGCAGCTAAGTGACCATATCAGCCTCCACCACCTGCTTCTGCTCATCCTCAGTCCAATCACATGCTGCCTCCCTGCGGAAACTGTCCTCCCCTCCAGGGAATGTAGGGACCCCATTCTGCTAGCTATCGTTTGGCATGGCGCTTGGCACTAGAATCCAGCCAACATTTGCTGCTGAGTGAGTTAACATCTCTGAGTCTTGGACACGGGCGGATGCACCTTACCTTTGTGAAATTGTGTCCTTGGCTTACACGAGGTTATATTCCCTTCTGCCCTCCTTCATTCACTCTGTCCCCTTTTACTCCCTAAAAATGAGTTTTCCCACCTCAGGATCCTTAATCTTGTCACACATATTTCTGGGCCATCTCCTCTAGTCTGTTAACTTCCATTACTTTATACGCTCACTACATTTTTGAAAAGTAAAAGAAATAGAGAAGGAGGTACAAAATTCAATACAGTCCTACCACATATATTGAACTATCAATGTTTTGATGAATTTCCTTTCAATCTTTCCTTCACAAATTTTCTTTTCCTTTGGGAGTATAATTTTGACTCCTTATACAGTATTTTCCCTTGTTTCTTTCTCTTAATATTACTTTTTGCCTTTTAAAGTCTTGAATGAATGACTTTTATTAGATGGATATAATTGTACCAAGTATTATAGTTAGTCCTCGGTAAGGAGTTGATTGCAATGTTTATCTCAATGTTAATCCTCACTTATTTAAACTACGCCTTATTTGTTTATTTACTTATTTATTTACTACTAAGGTACATTTTGTCTGATTTATCATCCAAGCTGTACCATTAGGGCAAGGACTATATATTAGTACTTTTATATCTGCTACATCTCCCATAACTAACAATTTTGCTTCACAATTTTGCATAAATATTTTAATATTGTTCTTGGCTAAGACAGCTGTTGCCCAGGGCTTCCTGGTGAGTTGTGGCTTCTAGGATTCTTATCTTTGCTTTTGGTCACTAATGACCCAGACAGGTGATATGAGTGGCCAAGACTTGTATTTGACAGTAGATACTGGAATATACTACCCATTCTGCTGAAAGCGATACTTAATACCTGTCTTTTATTTTAAAAACAATATATTCTCATTTTGGAGAAATGGAGAAACGAAAGAAAAGAGGAAAATATCTACAGTTTTGCCGTCCCCCAAACAAGTCTTTAATATTTTAGTATATTTCTATTCGAACTTTTCCTTTTTTTTCTCTTGATGTTGTTCATTTTGGTGTAACAATTTGCCTTTTATGTAACCTTAAAACATATACATGTGCAAGTTTTTGTAATACTTATATTTAATCTTTCTAGAATATTTAATGAGTGCATTGTAATTTGTAATTGTTTCCTTGCTTTTAGATGTTAAGAGAATGTCCCTTTGATTTCTCTTCTTCTCCACTTTCCTTTCTTTTTTAGTTTTTTTGTTATCTCAAATGAACACTGCAATAGATATTTTTATGTAAAGTTTTTCTCGCTAGTTAGGATTATATCCTTAAGAAAGAAAAATGAGTGGTTATTATATTTTTTTCTGAAGAATATCACTTTAACATTTTACTCTTCAAGAAAGACAATATAGATGAACTCAGTAGATATATAAAACAATCCAAAGGCCAATTTATAAAGACAAGTATATTTTTCATCTCCACTCCCTGGGAAATTTCTGAACAAATTTTTGAGCTGAATGCAGAAGTACATATGAATGAACATCGCCATGTGTATATTTATGTATGCTTGTTCAGCTCCAAATAATCAACTTGATTGGTTTTTAATAAATCAATTTCCTGACTTTCTGTGCTTGAGTAGAGCTCCAGAGAAACATCCCTGTCTGGAGTCGTGAGGATGGGCTTTACTTTGAACTTTCCTAATTAACTCTGGGACCTTGACTCAGTCCTAGGACCACTTTTGGCCTAGTGTTGTCAATTGGAAAATAAGGAAATTTAAGTGAACAACTTCTTGTTAGATTCTACGTTTCTAAGGTGAAATAATTACCACATACAAGGTTTGCTTGGGAAAATCATAGAAGGACAGTCTTCATTCAACAGGAGTGCGGGAACAGACTGAAAGGGAAGGGAGAGCAAGTTAAGAACTCACAGACTGCGGACTAATCCTCTGCCTCTCAGCATCAAGGCTCTGCTTCCTAAAAACCCAACTCCATAAATCTCACTCTCGCACACAAGAGCATCACACACAAATCCTGCTGACAGACTCTTTTTAACACCTTGACTATAATTAAACTGAATCAACAAGGATAAAATCAGATCTGGAACAACACATACCTGTGAAGGTGTGTATATTTGTCTAAACTACATTTCAAGTCTCTAATCTTCCTTATTTTTTTTTCTGGAAAAACTGCATCTTCTCTAACATAAAATCCATTAATATTACAATTAATATACACAATATAACACAATAAGGCTTTTGCTCTGGGGTTCATCAGTACATTAATGAAATGATGACTGCTAATAACATTAAGTCCTTGCTCTTGACTGAAAAAAAAATTCATCCAAGTACGGTAATAGTTGAAGATAACTTACTAGACTTAACAGCTTTCATAACATTCAAGCCTAAATAGTGACACTTTATAAGTGAATATTTAAATGAGCATAAACATGCATGTATGCTTTAACACAATGGTGCCTTAGTAATCATTTCCTACATTTGAAAGCTTGTCTATTAACAAATGATCATGTTATACTTAAGGCTGAACCAGGAGTCAAATTCTCCAGTTGTCAGTTTTAAACTCACCGATACAGGCTTAGCAGTGGGTTTGCAGAACTGACGGTAGTATTCCCAGTACCTACTGTCCGTTTTGTACAAAATTTGCATTTCCACGTAGGTTAAAAATTTTTCTGGGCACTTGGCAACACAAATCTATATTTTAAAAAAGTGAGCATAATGATAGGTATTAAGTTGAGAACAAACTAAGGAAGTATGTCTTAGACTGCCCATCAGAATAAAGAGCAAAGCTATGTCCTGCATCTAAGGAATTTAAATCAATTTTCTAGTATTATGGTAAAAAATTAAATTCCATACAGGGAGTTACCAACATGTACTCATTGCTCTCTGATGTTGATGTAGTATTTAAACAAGGTATTGTACAGTGATAAACTTATTTTTGGCTTTTGATTTTGAGATAACTGTAGTTCCATGTATAGCGGTAAAAAATAATAGAGATTCTAAATACCTTTTACCTAGTTTCCCAAATGGTAATAATTTGTTTAACTGTAACAAACTATTACAAGCAGGAAACTGATATTGGTACAGCCAACTCATGTTATTTAGACTGCACTAGTTCACAGCCATTCATTTGTGTGCAGCTGCTAGTGGGTGTATTCCTGCACAATTTTATCACATATGCCGACTCCTGAGACCATTACAAGATAATAATGAACTTTTAATAAAACATTCTTGTACAGTTTTCTGAATTAGTAGATAAGAGTGTAACTCAAGATTAATTTTATCTGTGAAGTTTATGCATATTCAGGACCCGACTTGCCTCCTTTCCTGTATATGAATAAAATAATGATAGTGTCCCATGCTCCAAATATTGATAATTTGTGCTACTTATAGTTATTATTACTAGTGAATTCACTACAAATCTCAAAATATAATTAGAGTTTTGTCACTATGAGAAATGAATCACATTAGGGCAATTTGCCACCATCAACCATTATCAGTCTTTTACCGACACCATCTAGATGTGGACAGAAAGCTCACCAGGCAGTTATTTCAAATGAAAGAACTGGGCTAGCAGTGCCAAACCTGATCACTCTGCCCCTCCACAGAACCACCACAAAGTGACTGCAGCCAACTAGGAATTCCATAAAGAGAAGGAAGACTCAGGCGGCTGCATGCTATTGCTCTTGCTTCTGTTTATAATAATAATAACGAAGGAAGGTCTTCAGAAGGCAACACAGATGCAGTTAAGGTCACACGTTTCCATCAGTTCAGCTCCTCTGTGTGAAGTCCTCCCCTGCCCTGACTCTCCATCCCCTACCGCACTTTGGTAATCATTCTTACTGCCTGAGCCCCATAGGTGGTAGGCAAAACCACTGCTGCTGAGCTGACATCTCTTCTCCATCCTTTGGGTCATGTTTCTGCAGTACACAGGACCCTTGCGTTGACCTCAATGCTAGGTCAGTCAGGTGCTGACTAAATGGAGGCCTCAAATCTCACACTTACCCTCACTGATGGCAGCAAAAATCCAATTATTTTGTAGGTGTTTTGACACAACAAACAACCACTCACCACATTCACACCTCCACCTGCATTTTTCCCATTTTTCAGTCACACACACATGTACAATCTCATGCACTCTAGAGGAAATATTGGCAGTCTCAAGGTCCAATCTAAAAAACTACATAGGGACATTCACAGCATTCAACATGCTCACATATTTTGGAAGGAAGTTAGGTTTATTACCAGTGAAAATGTCACAAGTTCACTCTGATTGGAAGTAAGCTGAATAAATCATTAGCATGTTGGGAGATATATGTAGAACATTTAAGCTCTGATTATTTACTTAGAAGGTGGTGAAAGATAGTTTTCCTATTGGCTGTTTCAGTGGATTTATAAAAGTCATTACTGAAAGAATCAATGCTTTCTCATTTTTGTCAGGAATGTAAGAACTTACATCCTTGGGGCCAAGGAAATTTCTCTCATTTTCTACTAGTACATGCTTGCAGTACATAAGGATTCCATTGATTGTGGGGAGCTGGTACATGCACACAACACATCTTAAGTCTCTTTTGCTGTCCTCCATTCCTTCCATCCCTTCTTTCTCCTTTCATCTCTGTGGACCATGAAAGTCTTTGGGTTTACACACACACACACACACACACACACACACACACTCAGACTTCTTATTACATATATAAAAGTGCTCTGTGTGCAACACAATTAAAGTGGCAAAAAGTGGTTTGTTATAGAGACTCATATCAAATTTCATTCCAGACACAAATGAGTTGCTAAAAAAAATACAGCAACAGCTCTATACTCTTTGCCTCTATCAGACCAATTTGTTCACTTCAAATAGTATGCTGATTAGTAGCAATCAACATATAATTAGCCAAAAATGAAGGTTACATTGAGGTTGAGTACCTTAATTGATCACAGTCTGTCCTTTAAATGCTCATGACACATGTCTGGACTATGCTGGTGGTTAATAAAAATGTAATGCATGCATACAACATTGCATGGCAGACTAAATGCAAAGCTGAATTTTATGCAACTAAAATATATCCTGACTCAATTCTGATTCTCTGTGTATCACAAAGGGCACACTGAATATAGTTTTTTAATCACTGTTTTACATCTTAGATTCAGATGGATTTAACACTCTAATATAAATTAAGATTCAGTGTCTGGGAGAGCGATTTGCATTGAAGATTAAAACACTATTTTTGCTATGAAGATGATCTACTAAATCACTTATGAAACACAACAAATAAGCATCATGTGCAAGACTTTTTGTCTCATCATAGAAATGACAGATTTGTGTAATATGGTGGAAAAATTCCTTAATGGAGAGTAGGAAAATATTAATTCACTCATTTATTAATGCATTAAGTCCATATTTTTTTTTTTTTTGTCTTTTTCCTTTTTATCAGTACCGGGGATCGAACTCACAACTGCCTGCTTGCAAGGCAGGCACTTATGCCGCTGAGCTAAATCCCCAGCCTGAAGTCCATAAATTCTTACTGACCACTTGTTCTGAGTCTTTCTATTTTAGGCAATGGGGACTTAGTAATGAACAAAACAAAACAAAAAATCTTTATTCTCAAGAAGTTTGTCTTCTAATAGGGGGGGAGACAGATAACAAGTAAAGAACAAGCAAATGTTGTTATAAGATGGTACCAAATGCTAGGGGAAATGAGGTTAGAAATGTTCCTGGAGAGAAAGGACTGGGATGTTGGCTGGGTGAGATTTCAGTCTTAAGTAAGTGGGTCAAAGGCCATGCTTGCAGAAAGACATTAAGACTAAAAATGAAGATTAGTCAGGAAGAGGAAGGACTTGAGGAAGAGCACTCTAAACAAGGGGACAACAAAGTTGAGGCTCAGAGGGAGGAGCTTCCCTGCATCCTTTAAAGAAAAACAGATAGTCATTATAATCAGGTGTGGTGAGCAAAGGGAGTGTCACATGTCATCAGAGAGCTAGCTGGTCAGACCACAGAGTATCTTACAGGCTACCGTGAGCACTTTGCCTTTTAAGAGTAGCAGGAAGATATTGGGACATTTAAGCAAAGACAATACTTAATGTTATCTACATTTGACAAGATCGTATTGGCTGCTGTGTAGGAAAGAAATTACAAAATGGTGAGGTGAGGAAAGGACAGAAGCAGGGAGACCACTCAGGAGGTCACTGAGTGATCTGGGAAAGAAAGGATCATTCCCTGAATGAGGGAAGAGATGGTGAGCCGTAGGTTGGTCCAGGATGTATTCTTGAGAGAGACCAAGGAAATTATATCACAGTTCAAACATGGGTGTGTGACAAAGAGCCAACAGGGTGATTCCATCAAACTTTGTCCTCGCATTTATTGACATAGAGAATATTGTTGACAAAGCCAGAGATTAGAAATTCAGTTCTGGATGGTTAAACTTGAGATGCTAACTAAATACTCATGTAGACATATTACAAAGGTTTGGAGGGCAGGAAGTAGGAAAGACAGCATATAAAATTATGTTAAATCCATAGTGAGATCATCAAAGGAGTAAATGCAAATTAGAAGATAACTGAGCTTTGTGGGGAAGAAAACACCAGTGTTTAGAAGATATGGTTAGAAACAGAAAGAGAAAGTAGCAGAAGGGATTGATGGGAGGCAACTAGAATTGGGAGGAAATATGGAAGAATACTGCATCCTGAACGCCAAATGAAGAAGGATTGGTTAAACACTGCTCCCAGGTAGGCAAAGGTAGATTGAGAGTTGACCCTCAGTTTAACAATAGGGATGTCAGTGGTGTCAGTTTAGGAGAACTAGACTAGGAATAAAAACCTGGATGAGATACAGTAATATAGACAATCATTGAGGAGTTTTGCAAAGAAACAAAACAAAACCAAGCCAACAAAAAACCAAAAAAAAAAAAAAAAAAAAAATAGAAAGAAAGAAAGAAATGCCCAGAAATGAAGACACAAGTTGAAAAGTTTGAGGATAAGAGGGGAAGGTGTGAAAGGGCTTTCCAGGAGAGTAGGTCAGTGGATGGGCAGTGGAAGTGTCGCATGGCTGTAGCATGATGGCATTCAGGACACTTTCGAGGAAAAGTCCTGAATCTGAAGAACTGCTATATGTTGGTTTTGTTTGGGGGGAGGGGGGTCTTCTGAGAACAAGCATATAGGCTCAGGCATGGCATGAGCAGAGCTATACTTATTGTGGATGCCGTTTTGCTAGAGAAGCACATCTCGGGGAGAAAACACAGGAACTGGGAGTTTATCTAGGCTGTGGCTTTCACCAAGGATTGTGGCTTCTACATGAGGCACAGAGGCAAGTGACAACCTGAGGGAAATGAAGGGAACTTTGAAGAGGTAAGGCTCAGCGGTTTATTGTTAAATGTTACTGAAACAGAAGCATCACTGGAGTTGGAATATTAGAGATTACAATGACCAGATACTACAGAGCTGGGAAATAAATTACAGAGACAGGCAATTACTGGTAATGAAAAGGTTGTTTTCACCTTAGGCAAGACAAGTTGGTGTGTAGAGGTGGTGACAGAATTAAGATATCAGCATAAGTAAACTTTCAAGTCTTCAAGGGAGTTGAAGAAACAAATACAACAGATCTGCAAACTAGTTCTAGGAAAATTTTATGGTATGGTAGTGGCACATGAAACCAAGAAGCAAGTTGGTTAGAAAACTGGTAAATTTTAAGGTCAACAAAAATGTCCCCTCAAAATGAGCTACTCTAAAAAAGTACTTTATTGGTTAAAATAGACTTTGAGGCACTAATCGTGTTCAACAGGAAGTGACCTTGAGCTCTATGGCCATCAGGAGGACCTATTTTGCACTGCTCAGCCTGGTAACTAATGGACAGAAAACAGCCTCCCAGCTGACCGACAAAGGGCCACAGGATGAATGGATAAGAGAGTTCCTCTGAGAGAACATAAACCAGGTCAGTAAAGGACTGTTCTTCATCACCATGCACTGGAGAGGGCGGTGTCTATATCTCTCCTCCCTTTCAGAAGGGGAGACTTATTCTAATTTTTCTACCCACTCCTTGTCATGCAGTTAATGTCAAGATCTGAAGGAGAGAACCATGCATCACTCATGGATCTAAGTTAAAGACAGTGCTCTGTGGAACTGAGTTCTCCTTTTGGAAGAAGAGTATTCTGGCAGCCAGAGGAGAGATCATGGAAGCCACAATTAACTGTCCACTGAAGTTTTTGCTTTTTGATCCATGGTAAGAAGAAGCTGCCTAGCTCATAACTACCTTGCTTGATTTCTCCTTCCTTGCATCTAGGTTTGCTCACACCTCTTTTATCTCATGTGCTACATGAGTAGAATTGCTACGTATGACTCCCCTGATCCCAGGCTTTTAGGAGTCATGCATTATCTATCCTTATTGTCTCCTTCTGGCAGCTGGATACAGATGATGGAGAGGACTTAAGGGTTGGCAGAACCATGTAGATAAAAGGAACCCAGGGGAGCCCCTGAACACAAACACCTGCCTGGCACTGGCACGTGATCAAAACAAACATTAGTAACTGAAACAAATTGAAAGACTGGAGTGTATTATAGGAACTAGCTTTACTTTTCTTAATAGAGTATTAATGTTGAAAAAATACATCCATTTATTTGGGCTTGCAAATATTTATTTATAGTAGAGGCTTAGCTAAAGTAATCACTAAGCTTCTTTAACAATTCTAAAATAATTAATCTCAGCTTAGTTTTGATTGCATATAAGCAAAACTGGGATAATACTTGTGTGCTACCACCACGCACACATAGGACTCAAACCAAATTTCTGAATACTTTATTCCCAAATATTCAGACCTACAACTACCTCCAGGGAGGTATCTTTTTCCTTACCTGAGTGGTAGGACACTGTAGGTTTATCACCACAGAGGGACTGGTGCATCTTAGCATGTTAAAATAAAACAAAGTAGTCTTGTTCCTGTTTGGAAAACACAGTAAATAATCTTTTTAGTGACCACAGAAATATCCTGTAATATTTCAGATCTCAAATATTTTTATTTTATGACCTTTAAAAATTAGCTTAATTTTCCTTAGACTGATACAACAGATTCTCACACTCCTCTTTCAGCTGTCTAATAGAGCACCTTTTTATAATTGTAAAACATTCAACTAATCAAATTGTCCATCAGCAAGGGGTTGGTTAAACACAAAATTGCACATTCATGAATTGGAACATTATATTACCATGGAAAATAATGTCACAGGATATGTTTAATGGATAAGAAAAATTAACCATACATTAATTTTAAGAAACCATTTACTAGAGAGTTTTATGATATGCTTGATTATAACTATATAAAAAGGTGTAATAAACTACATGTAGAGAGAAAGTATTATATTTGAATGTTGGGTTATATTTGTTTAGTTTTTTGTGTCTCTATGGATTTCCCAACTCAACATTGTATACTTTGGTAATCTGTAAAGAGGTATGGGCTGGGGATTTAGCTCAGTGGCATAAGCGCCTGCCTTGCAAGTAGGCAGTCGTGAGTTCGATCCCCAGTACCGATAAAAATGAAAAAAACAAAAAACAAAAAAATCTAAAAGAGATACATAATTTTATTGGTATTTTCTCTACTGAAGATTACAGTTAATGGCAGAGTAACTGACTATCATTAACCACTAGCTTTGCATAGACTTCTACTCTGTTATTTGACAAACCACTGTTTGGGGTTGCATTTTAGTTTTCTCATCATGCAAATGAAGACAATACCAGCCCTGTCTACCTCACAGTGGTATTGGGAGGACCTAAGACAATGTGTAGTGGACTCACGAGAAGTAAATGCCCAACCTCAGGACACATAAATAAAATCTGAAGTGTTTACTGAAAATTCTGGATCCTTTCTCCTCCTTGGCCTTGAGAACTCACGTGTTTGGATACAGAGCCAAGGAATTAGCATAGTTCCCACTAAGAGGTGGATTTAGATATAGGTACTTCATAAATCACACTAAGAAACATATTCCTAGTCACTTAAGAAAGTTTCTCAGCACTTTACCAAGTCTCCCATTAATTCATCTGACTACATGAACAGCTTAAAATATACCATGGTTGCTATGCAATTTTTTCCCCCACTGACCCAGAATCCTTAAGTACTACCCATTTAAGGATAAAGAAAGTCCTCCACAAGAAATTTGGGTGAGATCCTTCCATTGCTCCTACCTTTTTCTTGCCTCTGTCTACATAAGCAAAAGATGAGGAAATGGGGTAGAGAGAGCAGAGTTGGAAATGATAGAAAGATCAAAGTTAAGAGGACTATCCCTCCCCCACCACTGAGGAAAGGGTGGGTTGTCTTTCCGGATTCCAAATCACAGAAGGCTCTGAGAGAATCCTCCAGAGGTTAAAGGTGCCCGTAGGAAGGCAAATCAAATACTCATTTTCCGATTAAACACCTCTTACGTGGCAGACCTGTCTTTGCCTATTTGAGCAGAGAGAAAAAGACCCAAAGAGATCATAAAAGAGCTGAGAAAGTTCAGTGTCAGTGGAGCAGAAAGAAGTCACCAGTGGAGCAGGCTGTCCTGGTAGGAGGTGCAGATCTGCAAAAGCTCTAGAGCATTCTCAGTGGTGGCTGGCCCAGCAGTAAGAGACTGGTTGACAGATGGCCAAGAACGAAGATGAATATGTCTGGAGGAGGACAAAATCAAAGCTGATGCCTCACATCTAAGAGCCATCTAGGAAGGACTTCCCAGGAAATTCTCCCCTGCTGTCCACAAGAAAGCCTGACTTTGGTTTCTTCCTTCAAAAAGAGCATCGATAGGTAGTCGAGTATGTTAGCCACAGTAACAACAGCCTTGTGGGATTGGGTTGCAGACAACAAAATAAGATACAACCCTTTCCTCCTCTTTCCATCCCTTATAATGCAATTAAAGAGTTAGAGTCAAAAAAGAGTGAAGTGAAACCACAGACCATATCCTCTGCAGGATCAAACTGGAGACTGGTAGAGATCAGACTGAAATTTTAAATTGGACTCTGCTAAAGTTTTACCAACAAAAACGTGTGTAAAGCTATGTAATCTCCCTGAGATGTCAAAGCAAGAAGGGAAATTTGAAAAAGCAATGAGAGGAGGAAAAATAAGCCTAAGTCATGTGGGTGTCCCAGTGAGTTCAAATGACTTGTGCAGCTGGTTATAAATTCACACGTATCCCAGGGAAACTCAGGGCTCTGCAAGTGTCAGTTCCGTTCTCTCACTGCTCAAACAACGGCACTATCCACAATTCATGCCGCGCATATGATTCACATTTGTACCTAAGCAAATAAATAAATTGTCACATGTCATGGATCATTGGTCCCTTAGGAGAAGTTAAAACCGCAAATGGAAAATCAGTACATATCAAGACTCCACCAAAGGTAAAATTGATTTATAAACTGCAAAATGGTACATAAACTCAAGTTAGTCACCAGCTTATGTCATCCTCAAGGGTGTAGTTCAGATCTTATCCAGTTTTTTATTCCTACCTTCCCAGAATGTTAGCCCAGTATTTGATCCATCCTAGTTACTTATTAAATATTGTGAAATGAATGAAGCTAGAGCCAAAGAAAGGGGTTTTTTTTTCAGTCTTAGAATCCACTTTAATTTTTCATCACAAATCCACAGCTATTCTGCCACAGACACCTTGATATCCTGATTTCAGTGGACCGTAGATTCCTTATGTACAAAGCAGGTGGCCATGCTTGCAATTGAAAAATTTTAGGGATGTGATTGGGTGAGTAGCTCTGTGCTCGATGTAAGTTCTGTTTCTAACAGAAATTAAAACAAAGAAGCAACTGCAAACTGCAAGTTGGAGATGCTGTGTCAAGCTCTAAGGGTTATCTCTGTTTCTGAAACACACAGGAGCAAAACAAAAGCACAAAAAATGGAATAAATTTCTTCCAACTAGCTAAAAATATAGAGGATGGGATTTACTCACATTTTTACAAGAGTTCAACGGTTTCTAGAAGGTGATATACATGTGGGAGTGTGTTGAACAATGAAGATATCCTACAGAATTACAGAAAGGATGGAGCAAGGTTTACATGTTAGAAATCATAAAAAATATTGCACTCAAGACTGACAGTGAGAAATCTGGCAAAATGGAGGGAGATTAATCATGGATGTATGTAGTAATCTCCAGTGCAAATCAGCACCTCTGCAACCTCTTGAATCCCAGCATCCAGGAAGAACAGAGATAATTCTTATTGAATGGACCTTCTGAGAATAGCAAAGATTTTGTGAGGTTTTATATCCCAGGTACACCACTTCATAGTGTGGCTTGATGTCTGGTTTCTCAGAAGAAATCTGGCGGCCAACATGGCTCCACCACCCCACCTAGTGCAGGACTCTCCCTGGAAAACTGATCTACGGACACAGCAGTCAAGAAAACATACCCAAGTATCTTGGTCCTCCTTCCTTTGATCAGAATGGATAATCACCCAGCATCAAGAGTAGAGGAGGAATCTGAAATCAAACAAAAACTGACGCTGGATGAAATTAAAATAATTTATGTTATGGTCAGTTCAGAGTAATTCAAGCAGCTTATCCACAAACAAAATATGAGGTTACTATAAAACGAAGTTGAGGATAAGCAGAAGCTTTTAGAGATTACAGAGATGATTGACCGAAAGTTTTAAAAACTGAAAAAAAATGATAAAATATAGAATGAAGACTACAAAGACCTGGAAAATATTGCAGGGGAGGAGTGGACAGGCACTGGGATGATGTTGAAAGAATGACCAGTAATTGCAAAACTCAGAGCTAATAAAATGCAAGCGATTGTAAAACTAATGGGAGAAACTTTTCCAGAGACGATGTGAATCATAATTAAAAGACTCTTCAGAAATGAATTTTCAGAAATGAAAGATTCACAGAAGATTGACCCAAAATAATTTTTAAAAGATCTGCATTTACACTGAGCTATTACACAACACCAAAAATGAAGAAATGACTTCCAACACTTTAAAAGGTATGTGAATCAGGCTAGCATTAGATGTACTGTTTACACATTTGATCCTGTCAAAGAATAAACACAGGGAGTAAAAGATAGAAGAGCAAAGAAAAATGGAAAGAAAGGTAGGAGGCATAATATCCCCCTACAAAAAGAGGAGTCAAGATACTGACCAAGCTTAGCAGGATCAAGCAGTGGAAGTAATAGTATATGATTTAAAGTGTCCATGAGGAAATCTATGTGCAGTAGTTTGGCTGCTAAATACGAGGATCAAGAAAAGAGACTATGTAAATGAGTTAAATCACTGTTTTCCAAAGCTGGCTATCAGGGGATGCTATCTGAAGATAATAAAGCATAAAGAGTAGCCTTATGATTTAAAATTATACAAAAATAACTGCCAGATGAACTGAACCCTGAGAGAGAAAACGTGATCTATGGAATAAATCGTGAGTGAAGAGACCATGGATGGTGGCGGTGGGGGAGAACATTGCTTTTATTCTGGAGCCTTTTATTCTGTGTTTAAACTGGTTCCACGGAGTGCTTAAATAGATTTGTGGGCCACTCTTGCCATTTTTGTGAGAGATTCTTCCGTGAACTGAAGACAAAACTGTTACTGTGTCACTCAGCTTCCAAACTGAGCACAAAACATACATGTCCTCTTCGTTTCTTTTGTCTCCTTATTCAAAATAAGGGCACAGGTCTTTTCGTCTGTCTCATTTGGTAACGGAGCTGCATCAGTTTCAAAGTTTAGCAGCTCCTTCGTAAGCTGAAGTTTTTGTAGTAGCCAGAAGGTGGCATCAAAACCAACCAGGTTTTCGCTGTCTAGTGCAACTCTCAGAGAAAAAGTCTATAACCCAAATGTCATGAGGACTTCCCTGAAACTGAAAGGCAGAGAAAGTTACAACCACAAGCACGATTTTTTCCTCTGAAGTCTCAGATTCTTCTCTCTTCTTGACATGCTGGAAAACTCCCAGTGAAGCACTGGGAGTCCCTTTAGCTCAC